CGCCTCGCGGAAGCCAAGGCGGTAATCTCGCTCGCCCAGGTCAAGGAGGAAGTCATCACCCTCCGGGGTCGCCAGCCACTCCTTGGCCACCTCTCTCCTTCGAGCTGCCACCGCCGCCTGCACGTCCGCCTCGAAGGCCGCCGACTTCTTATAATCTGCGACGGAAGTCGCGGCGATCGTGGCCACTTTGCCCTTCTCCTCCTCCCATTGACGGGTGACCCTCAGCAGCTCGGCGTTGTGCACCTCCACCATCTTAAGTTGCTTTGCCTGCTCTTCCAGAAGAGATTCCTCTGTCTGGCGCTGCTTGGCGGTCATGGCCCGCATATCGTTCCTAAAGCCCTGGAACCGATTGCCCAGTTCCATCTGGAGGGCGAGGTCCTGCACACCCAGCCGTCAGTCGAACAGAAAAGAAAAGAGATGAGAGTAAACAGAGGGAAAGGTCGAATGAGTGACACTTACGCGATACGACTGCCGGAGCAAAGCCTCGATGATGAACCCGTCGCCAAGAGCACGGGTCGACTCCACATCCTTTGGCAAAAGGACATCCTTGCACCACTTGCGAACGGAGGTGTTGCCCATCCAGATTTGGGCGTCCTCGTCCACCTCATGGCATAGCCTGATCCTCTTCGGAGCCGGCCCCTCCGTAGGCTCAGCCGGCCGCTTGGAACTCGGACTCTCAGTAGAGGGAGGAGGCGGCTGCCGACTGGGCGATACCACGGGCGAAGGTGTGAGGTCGACCACGTTGTGGGAAGACGCAGGAGTCGGCCGGACCGCCGGCGATGGCTGAGATGAGGACGCAGCGGCCGGACCTGTGGAACGTTGCGTCAGGCGACGCCTCATCTTTTCCGCCCTGTTTGCCATCTCAGGAGTCGGTTCGATTGCTTCGCCGGAGCTGGAGGTATCGGAGTCGTACGGACCTGTAAAAGAAATACACTCACTTGTGAGTGTTCCCGGGGAAAACAATAAGCAAGACGAGAAGGAAGAGGAAAGAGACGCTACCTATGGTGGCGGCGCCCTCCGGCAGAAGGCCATGCTTGGCCATGGCCCGGACTCGAGACCAGTACTTAACGGAGTACGGCCCGAAGCCCTTCAAGAAGTCGCCGCCCATGACAGCATCCTCCGTAAAGACGGCGCGCCGAGAGCAGGGCTTGAAAAGAGTCGCCGGCCAAAGGGTCGGAAAGGTGAAGGAAGAGGAGCGAGGTCGGACGAAGAAATAAAGGGGCTTCCACTCCTTTATCGAGTCGGACAACCCCTCGAAAAGTTGACGTCCCGGACGGGCGGCGACTTGGATAAAGCCGGGCGAGTGAGAGCCGACCTTGTTCACGGTAAAGAGGTACCGGAATAGGTCCAAATCTGGCTCGCACTTCCACCAATGGCAGAGATTGATGAAGCTGGTCAGGAGTCGGTGAGAGTTAGGCACTAACTGGCCCGGGACCAAGTTATAATGCCGGAAGAGAAGCGAAAGAAATGGGTGTGGGGGCACTCGGAAGCCGAATGCAACCGAGTGCAAATGGATACCCACAAAACCCTCCGGCGGGTCGTGGATAGGCCGGCCCTCCGCCGCGACGACCATGGCCGAAGGGCCAAGCAGAAAGCGGGCCATATCCAGGTCCGCCGCTGTGGCCGACGATGGAAGACCGGACGGCCGGACAACCGAGTCAAACTTGCCTCGCGGCCGTATAACGCCGCCCGGCAAAGCCGCCACCGTAGTTAACGGGGCTGGGCTCATCGGAGTGGCCGCCCCAGAAGAAGAAGGGGCTAAGAGAGAAGAAGAAGACACCGCCTGGAAGTCCGCCGGCATTTCCAGACGGCGGACGACGGAAGAAGAAGAAGAAGAGGACGACGGAGAAGTCCCCGCCGGGTTGTCAAAGGACGGCCGGCGGGAGGAAGAAGAAGAATGAGAAGAGGAAGACATTACTTACAGATTGAAGCTGAGGCTGGAAAGGCGATGAAAGAAGCAGAAGCTTGGTAGGAGAATTAAAAAGGAAAATGGAAGAAGAAAGCCTTTTAAAAGGGGGAAAGAAGTCCAAGAGGCTGCCACGCGGCGCCTCCGTAGTGGAGGAATCGGAGGCGACAAGACGTCGAAGGGATGCCGCATTTAATGCCTCGATGGGCGGAACGACGGTTCAGGCCTAGGGCTAGCCTGCAAGCGGCGCGTCTACCCTAGGCCAAGGCTGAGTGACGATGACCCGGCCTGCCAGACCAAAGGCCCATCAGGGCAAAAGGTATGGGGGCCCATCCAGATCACGCTAGAAGTTTCTAGAAGTGACCCGGCTGGGTCCGGCCAAATAAAGAGGCCCGGACGAGCTTCAGGTTGCAAGATCGGCCGACGAAATTTGCCGAGTCCCCCACCCACGGGACTTAGTCGGACAAAGTTTATGAGTCGGTCATAACGACCAGGAGACGGCCAAAGGAACACACAAAAACCAGGGTCCAAAAAGTAAAAACGAGATTTTATTCCATAAAGACAGGGGTACAAAGCCGAGGACTCGGCTATAGACATTACACAGAAAAGACAGGCCTAGGGCTTAACTTCCTCCTCCTCCGCATGACGCCCCGGCTCTGGACCCTCCAAATAGTGATGAGGGCGGAAAGGCAATGGACTCGGCTCAGGCTCGGGCTCGGGCAGTTCATCCAGGTACACGGCAGGCTTCCCATCTACGACCATCTGCAGAGGCTTCTCCAGAGCACTCGGCGACATGGCCACGCCAAAAAGCGGAGGAGCCTCCCAGTTTAGGTCCCCCTCTGGCTCCGGATCCTCTACCATGGGCACCATCTCGTCCTCCTCTGGGTCCACGACCATCGGATCAAGCATGTCAGGAGGCACCACGATGGGATCAGAAGCGGAGTCGCCTACCAGGTAACCTCCGCTAGCCGCCCTCTTCCGCCGGAGCTCCTCCTGCCGGGCATGCTCCTTATTACGGAGGGACCAACGACGATCACCGTCCCTGAAGCTCATAGCTTGAGGTTTTTTTTGAGGTATGAAATGGTGAGAAAGCACAGAGCTACCAAAAGCCCTTATATAGAGCCTCGAGAGAGCAGCGACCGAGGCGCAAATCACGGAGGGAATCATAACTGACATAACTGAGCCGGATTAGACGGGCAGCGTGAATCTCTGTCAGAGATTAATCCCATCCAATTGGCTCGGGAAGGGTGAGATTCGCACGCTAAACTGGAAAAAGCCTGGCTCGCCCAGGGAAGCGAGATTTACGGGTGTCAGGTGGAAGGAGGACTCGACATCGCAGTCGACTCCTCGACAATTGAGGCGGACGAGTGCCCTAAATATACTGAAAAAGAGAAAAACTGAAGGCCGGAAATATTTTATTATAAAAAGAAGGTGCAGGTTACAAGGAGCTTATTACAGAGTAAGCAAGTGCTCCTAACAGAACTACCCCTCTAGAGAATCCGGCCGACCCCAGTTCACAAAGATCACTCACTCGGCGAGGAGGAGCCGCTTCCAAAGAACCCTTCCGATGGCCCAGGAGAGGGTGGGCAAAGCGAATCCCAGAACGCCGGCATGAGCGGCGGCACAACCAGCTCTTCATCGTCCGGGTACATCTCTTGATAACGAGTGAAGTCTTCCTCGTTCATTAACCCGGTAACCGGACCGTCCAGGTCATCTAGAGGAATAGAAAAGGTCATGCGAAAGGTCAACTGCTCTGGGACAGGCACGGTAACAACGGTCCCGCCTGGGGAAGTTACTCGAGCAGACCCCGGAGGAGGAGAAGGGCGAGAAGTCGGAGCGACTTCGCGACGAGCAGGAGTCGGCGGAGGAAGAGCCATAGAGGCGGCGCCAGCAGGTGATCTCTGTGAAGTCGGACGGGGAGCCTTCCTTTTAGGCTCCCTCTCAGGGCGAGTTCGTTTCAAAGACAAAGGGCGCCGGGGCGACCCAAAATCAATCTGCTTCCCTTTCAGTGGTGAGCGACCCATGAGGGATTGGTAAGTTAAGAAAAGAGCGGCCAAGGTCATTTATAGGCGTCAGGCCAGGCCGAGGAGATCAAAACGGTCCCGCGAGATCCGGGAGATAGCGAATAATCTGGGCCAATCCTGAGTCATTCAAGGCACGGATTCGGTAAGCAGGAGAGGGTTACTACTTTTCCAAACCCAGGTTGGTGGACCGGGTATGGAAAAGTGAGGGACTAGTTGATGGGGTGAGAGCCCCGGCCCAAGAAAAGAGGCCCAGAAAGAATGCATGGGCCGAGTCCAGGACTCGGCCCAGGTCCAAAGAGGGAGGCCCAGTTCAGAGACCGGAAGGACGGCCCAATACCAGACGGGGACGAGGAGTCGGCCCAGGCCCGACCTAGGAGAGGACTCGGTCCAGAGAGCCGTTGAGGGAGCCTTCAGCACAGTTAAGACAAGGAGCCGTTGAGGCATTAAAAGCCGGGCTCGGTCCGCTAGTTACTAGCCAAAGAGAGCCGTTGGCAGAGTCTGTAACGTCGGCCAACGGCTCGGCGCATTGAATGTACCCTTTAAGTCGGCCATCATGAGCCTTTAAGACGGTAGAGGAGGAGCCACTATAAAAAAGGCTCCTCCACCATTGTATGGGACAGATTCCGGAACCCGGAGAGGGAATAGACAAGTACTATTAAGCCTCGTATTTTACTAAGACTCAAACCCTTTTGTGAAAGGTGTATCCACCAGCTATAGGTTGTGTTGGACCTCCTTGGGCCCTAAAAACCCAAAAACCATCAGATACGGTAATGAATAATGTGCAGCAGTTCAGTGGCCTATTTGATCCTTATTCCTTTAGTTTAAAAATACTAAATATTCATTTTTAGCCACCACTAAATTCACTTGTGAGGACTTGAGATAATTATTAAATGAAAATGGGGCAAAAGTGTTAATACAAAAACTCTCCGAGGTCCAAATAAAGTTTTCTTTTTGTAAGATTCCTGGAAAGTGGAAACTATGGAAAACATTACTCAAAATACCTTTTTACCCCTTCCCACGTTTTTGTTTTCATATCCGCATCACTATTTACTTGTGTCTCCCCCATTTCGCATTCAACTCTTTCCAGTCCACTCCCATCCGCTCTAGGGAGACTGGGTCATCATCTCCTTGATGATCGACCTTTTCAATCCATCTTCACTTCTTATCATCTAGGGTTTTGAATTACTGTCCAAATTTGTGCTTACAATTTCTTTGATAAAGTTATATTTATTTGTAATTATACTCAAGTTTTTATTGATCAATTGTATAATACATTTGAGAAAATTTTTTTGTGAGTTCGAGAAATTCTCGAAAGAGATGGAGCTTACATCAGAACCTTCATCATGCTCTTGCCTCTGCGGCCAGCGGTTTCCGCCGGGGTTCAGGTTCCAACCTACGGACGAGGAACTGGTCGTATACTACTTGAAGAGAAAGATCTGCCGCCAGCCAATCATGCGCGACGTCATTGGCGAGACTGACGTATACAAGCGGGAGCCAGAAGAACTTCCTGGTATAGCTTTTTTCTCATTGCCTATCTATCAATTGTTGTTATAAGGCCGTTGACTGTATTTGGTTGTATGCGTTTTTCATGATTCCTTGTATTTACGCTTTAGTTATGATGATATCTTCTTTATGGATGATTGATAGATGTTTTTGTGGTTTTCTGCTGTTACATTTGAATATTTGGTCGTTATTTTCACTATCATTGCTTGATATTTATCTATATTTTTGTTGTTGTTTTCGGATCTTAGTGATGGATGAAGTTCTCTGCTCAAATGTCGTGTTTATGATTTCTAAACTGTACATAATGAAGTTAATGGTGCTATATTGAGTTTATCTGATGATTTTCATGGGTCATTATGTCTCCATGATATAGAAAGGTTTGGTCTGTTTGTAATATTTTGATTCATTTGAAATACAGTGAGATATGGAACTATTAAATTTCAACTCTGATCTAGTGTATGAAAGCTAGAGTAAGAAACAAGCTATAATACCAATATATGTGGTTACATGTATCTATACACTTTGATTGATCGAATGGAGTTGACAAAATTGTTGCAGTGTATTTCAGGGTAAAACTTGCTCATATCTTTGTTAAGTTGATGGCTATCTCCTTTTAAATCTTCTTAAGTTCTCGTGAATAGCAATTGACAACCAGTATTTGCAACTTTAGTTGTATGCACTTTATTGACTGTTTTCTCAACTTTAAATTGCAGAGTTGTCAAAGTTGAAGACTGGTGATAGGCAGTGGTTCTTCTTTAGCCCCAGAGATCGGAAGTATCCAAATGGAGCCAGGTCAAACAGAGCAACTAAGCAGGGGTTTTGGAAAGTAACGGGAAGGGATCGCATAATTACATGCAATTCTCGTAATGTTGGCGTTAAGAAGACACTGGTCTTTTATAAAGGTCGGACACCTACTATTAAACCTTCTTCTCCCAAACCTACTATTAAACCTGAACGTACTGATTGGGTGATGTATGAGTATACAATGGACGAAGAGGAGCTAAAAAGATGTCCTTCTGCACAAGACTACTATGCACTATATAGGATCTTTAGGAAGAGTGGGATAGGCCCCAAGAATGGGGAGCAATATGGTGCACCTTTTAGGGAGGAGGATTGGGCTGATGATGACTGCTTGACTGTTAACCCCCTTGTTGAGCAAGAAAAATATACAAATCAGGTCAATGATGTTGTTAATGTTGAAAGCCCAATACCTAATGATTTTGAAATCTCTTTAGTTAATATTGAAGAACTCCTGGACCTGCTTGAAGATGAGCCTGATTTACCTGTGCAAAACGCTATTCTCCATCCTACCACACCACACAATGTGCAGGCAAACGTTGATGTGACACAGTGTAGCACTTCGCAACCACAATTGCCAGAGGCTCCTGAGTTCACATCTGCTCCAGTCTATCATGGGTTGAATCCTCAAATGGTGGAGGAGGATTACCTGGAAGGTTTTCTGGAGGTGGATGACCTTGCTGGTCCAGAACCCAGCATTAATAACTTTAATAAGCCAGGGGAAATTATGGAAATTCAGCAATACGGATATGATATGGGAACAAGAGAGGCAAGACATCCCAATCAACCATATGCAAACAATGCTGAAAATGGCATGGTAAACCCTGTCTCTACTTATTTCAGCGATAATCATGAAACCATGAACAGCCAGCAGTTGTATTTGAACGAGAACAATGAAGGCAGCAATCGACTGTGGTCTCCTGATCAAAGGTGCAACATCGCGACCCCAGCTGAAGCAAATCATGAGGTCTTCCATCCAGCAACTTTAGGTACTGAAATTGTTTTCAACATCAATAATTTCACTCTTCCTTTGCCATCACAGTACCAATAATATAATGCTTTAAAGATTTATTGCAACTCTATATATGTTGGCTGACTTTGAGCTCTTGGACAGATGGATGGTATGGCACAACCATGTCATCTTCCAAATGGCGAGAACTCTTTTGCCCAAGTGGAAATGGGGGAGTTTGAGCCAACTTGAAGAGCTCTTCTGCTAATGTGTTGGTGTTACGATATTTGTCTAATTCCACTGAGTTTTGGCATGTATAGGTGTAGTTTATGATAATCATTCCTTGAATGATCATCCTAAGGGGACAAATTCAAATCAAATCACTAGAGAGGATGGCGCCACAAACTCAAGGTTCTCTTCTGCTCTATGGGGCAGTCTGGAATCAATACCAGCCACTCCTGCTTCAGCTGCCGAAAGTCCTGCTGCTGATATGGCATTTGAGCAAACGACTAGAAGATCAAGAGTAATTGCCAGAAACATGAATACTGCATCAGGTAATACTTCGAGAAGTTCAGGCAAGTCAATGAGTGGCTTTTTATGTGTATTCGTACTAGGAGTGTTGTGTGCTGCTATGTTATGGATATTGCTAGGAACTTCGTCATTGAGCTAGTTGGGGATGTTCCCTCCTGAATTTATAAATTGGAAAATTCTGTTATGCTTTGGCAGCTTGGTGAAATCAATGGCAACTAGAAGGAAATGGACAAATATATATATATATATATATATATATATATATATATATATATATATATATATATCGTTCATTATTCAAACACGCGCGCATAACAAGAAGGAAAGTATATTAAGATAGGTCAAACTCCAAAACATGAGCTAAAGAAACAAAATGGATCGAAAAGCAGTCCGAATAGTCAGACTTGTACAAGGCCTTCTTAGCTAACAAGTGGGTTGTCTTGTTTACAAGGCCTTCTTAGCTAACAAGTGGGTTGTCTTGTTTACAAGGCCTTCTTAGCTAACAAGTGGGTTGTCTTGTTTGCGGACCGTTAAACAAACAAAAAGTCGAGATTACAAAAACTTCTAGTTAAGACCTTAATATCATTGACAAGTAAATCAAAAGAAGTCTCCAAGCTATGCTTGTCAATACTACTTATCGTCTTTAGGGAGTCCCTTTCACTTTCAACTTGAACGTTATCTAGGCTAAGGTCCTTGATCCATTTCAGAGCTTCGCGTATGTCAATGGTCTTCGCTTCAACAAGAAATTATTTTAAACATCAAAATGATGTTGTTTTGAACTATGCTCCACACAATAATTTACGATTCACCTCTTAAGTGGCCCCTGGGGTGCATGAAATAACTTGCCTTTACATTTTGACACTTCACTTATAAAATAAAAAGAATACAATAAAATCATGTTTGTCCTAAAGCCCACTTTGAGAGAACAATAAGAACATAAGACACAATTACTAATTTGTTTAAAGTATAGAGTTTATACTCTTAAGTTATAAAATTTCATAACACAAAATATATACACATGAACCAAGATCCATAGTATAGTGTGAACCTTAGTCCATAGTATAAGGATAGGGTTCTGAAGATTTAAGATTATTCTAGCGTAAGTTGGAAACTTAATGGATTTAAAAAAAATGTTTGGACTATTTTAATTAGATCACTTACGCTCAACTCTTATTTTTTCATTTAATTATTTTTTGTAATTTTAATAATTTAATCACTTTGAGTGTTTTGTTTTTTTTTCCTGTTCTTTTTAACATGTGGGAGATTCATTCAATGAGGAGGGTGGGTTTAAAATATGGATTAAATTGGTAGGTAGTAGAATTGGGTTAATTAACGTAATTGGATACTAATATTTTAGAGAATTTGACCATGAAAAACTAAATTAAAATTGGCAATGATGTTAAAATATATGGATCAAGTAGATAATAAAAAAGAATTCAGGCAAAACAATGTATAATAATGCTTTTGTAAAATAGAGAAACATTTTTTTTAACATTTGAGTAAAAAAACATTCATGAATTAGTTTTTAATAATTAGCAAAAAATTGTGTAAAACCATCTCATGGATACTTGTTCGTCGCAAATTAAGCTGTGCAACCGAATGCACCTTGCAAGGTGCATATGGTTGCAAAACGGCACCGTTTTGGTTAAAAAAACGCGCGTCCCACTTAAAGAAGAAATCAGGTTCGATTCCCGGCAATAGCATTTTTATATATCCAGAAATTCATAACTATATATCAACAATTTCATAACTATATATCCACAGTGAATGAATGAAGTAAAAATCCACAATAAATGAATGAATGAATGAATGAAGTAAAAATTCACAATGAATGAACGAAATATCCACAATATATGATTGAACTAAATATCCACAATGAATGAACTAAATATCCATAAATTCATAACTATATATCCAGAAATTCATAACTATATATCCACAGTGAATAAATGAAGTAAATATATCTACAATGAATGAACTAAATATCCACAATGAATGAACTAAATATCCATAAATTCATAACTATATATCCACAAATTTATAACTATATATCCAGAAATTCATAACTATATATCCACAATAATGCTATTGCTGAGAATCGAACCTGATTTTTTTTTTTTTTTAAAGTGGGACGCACGTTTTTGTCAAAACGACGTCGTTTTGAACCGTATGCACCATGCGTATGGTACATTCGGTTGCACAACATAACTATTGCTTGTTCGTGAGCTGGGTCGGAAAAAGATGAAATATAATACTTATACTATTACTAAATGTAATACAAATTAGGAATATAATGTTTATTACATTTTAGGGAAAATGTAATACTTTTTACATTTTGATATAAAAATATTAATTTTCCTTTATAAGTGCAGTATTACTTATAAGGAAAAATATAATATTTTTAATAAAAAAATAATACTTTTACATCAAAATATAAAAATGTTAAATTTATTTTAAAAAGTATTATGATTTTTCTTATAAGTAATAAATATTTTATTCATGATGTAGTATTACATTTGCTAGTATAAGTATTACATTTGCATACTGTCTCGATCCAATCCAATTTGTTTCACGGATAAAAATATGTGAGACGGTGTCACAAGTGTTTGACTAATTATAGTTTAAGAAAATAGTGAAGCAATAAAGCACCATTTCTCCTAAATTACTTAATGATTAAAATAAAATACCTGTTGTTAAAAAAATAATAATAATAAATAACCTGTTCGCTGACTAATCCATGATCCATCCTCGATGTCTTCTCTCTCTTTGGAATTTTCTCGCCATAGCCCATATTGACTAACCAATAAGATATATTAAAATGCCAACTTAGTCCAAACTCCATACCCTCACCAAAACTTATCATGATTGTACCTTACACCTTACAATATGTAAAACAACACTCATATTCTCTTATTCAACCTTTGACTTTACGTTTTTTTTTTTTTTTTAAAGTTATACAGTGTCAATTGATATTGATTTTTTCTTTTTATCTAATATCAAGATAATTCTATAATATCAGTGCAATTAAGCATACCATTTGTAATTGTAATTGGTAAAAAAAAATACTGATACAAATTGATGTCTTTAAAAAAGTTACATATAAAAATTTAAGGCACAAGTGTCAAATAGACCCATCTATTATTGCGAAGTGTTCAATTCCCACCACGAACTAAATTAAGTGTGAAATAAGCTCATCTACCAGCTAAATTTGTTCAATTGACATTTTTTACAGGTTGCTAGCAGGTTGCGTATTTAATTATTAAAAATAAATAGAATAATTTTTTTTTTTAAAAAAGAAGAGAATATCAGTCACCGGCTGTTTGCGAAAGGGCAGCCATCGGCTGTCCAGCGGTTGATATTCTTTTTAAATTTTTTTTTATTCTATTTATTTATTTATTTTTAATAACTAAATATGCAACCGGCTAGCAACCTGTAAAAATGCAAATTGAATAAATTTAGCTGATAAATGGACCTATTTGACACTTAATTTAGTTCGTGGTGGAAATTGGGCACTTCACAATAGTAGATGGGTCTATTTGACACTTGTGTCAAAATTTAAAGATGAAATATTATTTAAATGTCTATAAAGTTTTTGTCTTTGTTCCTAGATCAGCGAATAAGCTTGCCCATGTCTTGGCCAGGGCAGCTCGTTCTAGTACTGATTCCTCTGTTTGGTTGGATTCTATTCCTTCTTGTATTGCTTCTTTGATTTAATAAAATTTTATGAATTCCTTTCAAAAAAAAAAAAGTTTTTGTCAAGGAAAAAAATCATTAATTTATATCATTTTCCAAATAAAAAATAAAATTTATACACGTATCTATCAATCTATTTTCCAAATAAAAAGTGTTCTTACAGCCTCCGCGGGCGTAGGGTCCATAGCCATTAGCCAGGTTCCACGAACCTTCTGAGCAAAGTCAAATTACATTTTACCCCTTTAGTCTCTCTACAATATTTTGACTACTAAACCACGGCGACTGCTGTTAGTCACTTATTAGTCCACAGCCTCCCGCGTTCGGGTTATCATCAACCCGACGATCATTCTTCTCTCCCAATTCCTCCTCGTTTCGCTTCTCAACCTCTAGGGTTTCCGATCACTCTCCAGTTTTTACCTGATTATCTTACTTTTTATTTATTTTTTTATTTATTAAAAGTATTTGTTGATTATTTCTAGTTTATTTTGAGCACAAATTTTTGTGGATTGAAAATATGGTGATGGAGGTGAAGATTACATCAAACTCGTCATCATCGGCTTCCCTTTCCGACCAGAGGTTCCCGCCGGGGTTTAGGTTTCATCCTACGGATGAGGAGCTGGTGTTGTATTACTTGAAGAGGAAGATCTGCCACAAGAAGCTCCTGCTCGACGCCATCTGCGAGACGGATGTGTACAAGTGGGACCCGGAGGACTTGCCTGGTATTTCTCTTTCTCTGATTATATGGCTGTTGATTGGTTTTATCATGTGCGGTTTGTTCGTACCAGTGTATTGATTTTTACTTTTTTGAGATAGAAGCTTGGTGATTTTCTGTTTGGATGGTATATCGGTGTTTGATGGTTTTGTTTTGTGAAGTAGGGTTTGCTTTGTCTGTTATTTGCACCTTTGCTTGTTATATGTCTGGATCCTTTTGTGGTCTAATGTTTTCATGATCGAGTTGTTGATTTCATTTCGGTGGATTTGGCTATTACCGTAATTGATTTATATATGGCTTGAATGAAACTGTAAACAATTAAAAGTCAACTATGGTATATAGAGCTGATCTGCATCTTTAGATGTGCCATCATGGTTTCCCTTTTCTGGAGTTAATTTGGTTGATTGACTAGGTGTGTTTAAAGTGTTGTCTAGTTGACTCATGTGAATTTTACAGAACTTGATTTCGCTGTAATGCTAAATTTGCATTTGGTGTTTATCCTTTTACCCCTGACCTGTAAATAAATACTCCATATCTTTTTGGAATTGCAAGTGAGGAAGAAATTAGAGATGGTGATCTTAATTAATTGATGCCTAGAAGAAACTGTTTTTTTGTTTTGTTGTTGTTTTTTTTTTGTTTTTGTTTTTGTTTTTGTGGACAGATGGAATAGCTAGTTATTTTTATGCATGTTAATTTATTTAGAACACATTTGGGTGCAATTGTCTAATTTGAAAAAGTCAGAAACTAGTTACCACTCTTACTAATGTACATACAGTGAGTAATTACATTGGAATTTGTATGTTCATCATTTTTGGCAGAAAGCCAGAAACCACTCTCCCATATCATATAGCTTAGCAATCTTGTTTCGAATATTTTCATTAATAACAATTCATGACCTATATTTCATTATTCAAGTTGATCAATTGTGTTTTTTTTGCCCACTTAATTAACTAATTTCTGAAATTTCCAATATGCAGAGTTGTCAAAGTTGAAAACTGGCGACAGGCAATGGTTCTTCTTTAGCCCCAGGGATCGCAAGTATCCAAATGGAGCCAGGTCTAATAGAGCAACCAAGCATGGCTATTGGAAAGCTACTGGAAAGGATCGTAGCATTACATGCAACTCTCGTGCTGTAGGTGTTAAGAAGACCCTGGTCTTTTATAAAGGTCGGGCACCAACTGGTATACGAACAGATTGGGTGATGCATGAGTACACACTGGATGAGGAGGAATTCAGAAGATGTGATAGTGTACGGGACTACTATGCACTTTACAAGGTCTTTAAGAAGAGTGGGGCTGGTCCCAAGAATGGGGAGCAATATGGAGCACCTTTTAAAGAAGAGGACTGGGATGATGATGAATATTTGAACCCCAAATGCTCTGTTGACCAGAAGAAATCTAGAAATCCAGTGAGTGATATTCCACCAATTGAAAACCCAAAACTTAATGTTCCATTCCAGTACCCAAAAGATGATCTTGACGGATTCCTGAACCATATTGGAAATGAGCCTCCACCGCTTATGCAACCACTCTCTATAGATTACAGTTATGACTTGGAGCACCTTATAGGGGAGGAGGATAGTGAAAGTACTTTGCTGGATCAATCCTCAAGGGAGCTTAATGTGACCGAGCAAACTGCCTTGCAACAATACAATGTTCAGGCAAGCTTTGAAGTGACAGAATCTGGCACATCGCAGCCACTGTTGCACGAAGCATCTGAGGTCACATCTTCTGCTGTCTGTAATGAGCAAACTCAAGCTGTGGAAGAGGATTTCCTTGAAGACTTTCTGGAGATGGATGATCTTCTTAGTACAGAACCCGATATCCATAAATTTAATATGCCAGTGGAGAAATCAGACACCCAACTGCTTAATGATTTTGATGGGTTGAGTGAATTTGACCTGTATCAAGATGCAACAATGTTTCTTCATGATGTGGGGACAAGTGAAGGGGGACAGGCTGCTGAATCATATGTGAACAATGGCACTGTAAACCAGACCTCCAATTACTTCAGTGATTATCCTGAAATTGTGAACGACCAGCAGTTGTATTTCAATGAGGGCAATGAAGTCAGTGATCAACTGTGGATGCATGACCAGAGTTCTGACATCTTTTTCCCTGATGACATAAATCAGGGGGCCATCCCTTCAGGTACTGAAATTGTTGCAAGCAGCAATATTTGCACTTTTTCCTGGCTTGCACCACACTGATGATATTAACATTATATTGTGCTTTAAAGATTTAGTGCAAACTGTATTTATTTTGACTGACTTTAAGGAGCTCTTGGACAGATGGATGGCATCTGACCATGTCATCTTCCAGACGGCAAGAACTCTTTTGCCCAAGTGGAAATGGGAGAGTTTGAGCCAAGTTGAAGAGCTCTTCTGCTAATGTGTTGGTGTTATGATTTTTTCTGTCTTTTTGTTTAGGGTCTTATTTTGATCAGTTTTGGTATGTATAGGTGTGGGTTATGATAATAATTTCATGAATCATCCTGCGGGACCAAACCCAATCCAGACCGCCAGACAGGATGATGCTACAAACTCAAGCCTATCTTCTTCTCTATGGGCCTTTGTGGAATCTATACCAACCACTCCTGCTTCAGCTGCAGAAAGTGCTTTGGTTAATAAGGCCTTTGAGCGAATGTCTAGCTTTAGACGATTAAGAATAAATGCCATAAACATGAATATTGCTGCAGGTGCAACTTCAAGGAGTGCAAGCAAATCTAGGAGCGGAATCCTCTGTTTTTCTTTACTTGGAGTGTTGTGTGCTATCTTATGGGTGTTCATAGGGACATCGTTCTGTGTCATGGGCAGATGTGTATCTTCATGAATTTGTAAATAGGAAGTATTGCAGTTAGCATTTAGCATTCTGCACCGCAATGAATGGCTAATATAGAGTAATGAAATGTTGATCTAATTGATCACAAAACCCATATGCCCTCTTGAATGCCTTTCACTTTTGCCGTTATCTCTTCTCTATTAACCATATTCCAACATTTGGAGGCCTTGCATGTCAGAGCTTCAATGGTCCATAATTTTGTGTATAAATAAAAAGTACATTATTTGTGTACATAAAGACATTATTTGAATACTGAAAGTATATTATCAAATAATGTATATTCAATATACAATTAATATACTTTAAGTATATTAAAAATGCACCTTGTATTTAAGAAAAATATATTTTTTAAATATTAAAAGTATATTATTTTGTATAATGTACATTCCATACATAAATAATGTTGAGATAATAATTTACCGTTATCACTTCTAGTCTTACTGACGAACACCTAAATGTGTAAATAAAAGTAAAATACAATCACTTTAAGAAAAAAAAAAAAATTACAATCACTTTGCCACTGAGAATATATGTTAGAATGTGAAGAGGGGGATGATTGCCATCGTCCCTAATTGCGGATTGCGTCCAAGAGTCGGTACTGATCCTTTCAGTGGAAAACTAAAAATGTTGAAGCTACAAACAAAACCTTAAGGGTGCGTTTGGATTACTAGGAATATTAGATTCATGTGTTTAATTTAAAATTAAGATACGTAAATAAGACAACTGTACTAAGATAAATTGATTAAAATGTCAAAAGCTCAAAATTAGTAATAAGACAAGAATGTGAAATTACCTAAGAATTGAAGAGTATCTTGCATTCCCTTCCAATAGCTAAAAACTTAATGTGGAGGTTATATGACATTCCCTGAAAAAAATTATATAACCTGAACAAAAAATGAGAATCTTATATTCCCAAGCAAATATAACTTTATTTATCTTATATAACTTGAACCAAACACCCCTAACAGATTTGGAAAAGCGTTCTCAACTTAAAAAATGACAAGATCAGCAACGTGGGAAACTCTGGTTGATTTCACATTCTATCTCCCCTACTCCGCGGTGCACAGGTGATTATTTGATCTACTCGTAGAATCATTTCAGCAGCCTCGGTTGCAGAGAGCAGCACTGCATGTTTTACTTTGAATGCTTCAGATATCCCCAGCTCTGCCATGTCTCCAACCTGCAATGGTACGAACACTCAAAACTAAACTAAACTAAACGAGACCAAGGCAAACAGCCAAGTAAAATCCTTTGAATATGACATGATACTCACACATCCGGAGATGACATCAATCCCTGCACTACATCCATCTGTGTGGTGTTCAGCACGGAGTTGAGCAATAAGTTCGGCACTGTCCAAACCAGCATTGTCCGCAATAATTGTTGGAATGGCCAAAAGCGCACGGGAGAAAGCTTCAATTGCATGAGATCTTTTTCCGGGAGTCTTCTTAGCCAGCTCATCAACTGCCTTTGCCATCACCATTTCAGGCCACCCACCGCCATGTAGTACCCTGCTGTCATTCACCGTCTGAGACAGCACACACAAAGCATCATGCAGCGATCTTTCAGCTTCATCCAGTACATGAGGGCTGCCAAAGAATTAGGGAAAAGGTTACTAATTGCATGAATCAAAATTATCAACCATGGAATCGGGAAACAAAGTTAACTGCCAAAAAATGAAACAAAGAAATGGCATACTATAAGGTGAATGAGATCATTACAAATAAGCTTATGTGGCATAGTAGCAAGACAACAATAACCCTCTGGAGACAAAGTTGAAAGTAGAAGGAATGAGGTAACTGCCAAATACCTTGCACCCCTCAGAACAATTGTACATGCCTGACCCATGCCGACCCCAGAAAAGTGGATCAACTTGTCTTCACCAATCATGATTTCCTCGATAAGTTTACAGTGTCCCAGCTTAACTGACTCTGGATTATCAAAGGTGGATGCAATCTCACCACCTGTGACTAAAGCCAGGCGCTCAATGCCATCAAAATCAGCATGTTCTATAGCAAGAATCCCAGCATCAGCAAAAAGTTCCTCTGGGAAGTTATAGATCAGCTGTCTGTTAACAAAACAGTTTATTCCATGGCTGATAATCTTTTGCACCTTCCCCTTCATTTTTTCCTTTTCAGCAGCTTCTAGCTCAGCAACTTTTGCCATGGAATCCACACGAACACGTGCACCATAAATCTTTGCTTTATCTGTATCCATTGCAGTATTAGCCACCAGGATTTTTGCATTTTCAATTCTTTTAGGTTGGCCAAGACCGATTTTCTTGTCCAGAATAAACCTACAAATAAAAACATATATTAAAAAGAAAATTATAACGTTTGTTTGCCAACAACAAAATACAGAGGAAAGGCTGGTGAAAGAAAACACAGAAGTGCATAATAAAAAGTTAAATATTTTAGAATCAAACTAAGGTCTGGCTTAAATGCCTACAACTATTTTATAGCGAGCATAAGACATGAAAGCTATAAGCAATTCTTGCACTTAAGGGCACAGATAGATGAACACCAAGATCACACAAAGATCTCAACTTTTAGCTTTTATGAACAGAAGTTCAAGCCACTAGCAACCAGTTAAACAGGTACTACTCCAAGGTGAAAAGTTTATCAACTAAAATTCTGCAAACTGTAGATACCACCAACATACATGAATTAATAGAAACTATTTAACAGTAAGAACAATATTTCTGAACATTTTAAAGATTAGACGACCAACCCCTCATCTAAGAATGAATCCGTAAGTGAACCTCCAGGCTTTTTAATAATCTGGATTGATTCGAGGTTGGTGCTGCCCTGTCACATTGAACCAAACAATCAAACAAATTTAAACTTCAAGCTACTAAAACAAAATTAAGTGAAGAATCATATCATTTTTCTGTTTTTAAATAAACTGTAGAAATAATATTAACAAGTATGAACGGATGAATAGAAAAAAACGTTTAAATATAAGAGAGACAAAAAACACATATTTTCACACTGTGAGAGAGAAAGATGGTAGGTGAACACATTAAAAAAGACTTGTGTTTAGATGACATCTTAGGCCAAATAAATAGTTGGGGGCCTTCATCAGTAAGAGAAAGAGATTTGGTGACTTAAGAAGAAAATTAAAATATGCAGCAGGACTATATACCTTCAACCTCATAACAGCATCGACGGCAAGCTTTGCAAAATGGTCCTTATCTTGAGACAAAATCTTGGAACTCAAAGTAGTCATTGCAATTCTCATCAAGTCTGATCTGAATTTCTCTGCATCACCCAGCAGCATCACAGAACAGACTTGTCAATAAAATTTTGAAAACCACGAAGAGAAATTATCAACATAAATAGTGCTTAACCACACCATAGCATGACCAATTAATCCATGATTCCATATTCATGCTTATTTTGAATTGTCACAGATCATTGAAAACAAATCATCAATTGGATAGATAGCAATAAAACAATAAAGAAATATACTCGATTTTAATTCACATCATAACTCAAGCATATATACCTGCATCCTGTCTGTTATCTACAACTTTCTCTAACAATGCATTGCGTGCACATTCAGCTGCCATCCGAAAACCTACAGTTAAAGATAAAAATAAATAAAAAGATGAATCAACTAAGCATACAACCTGATTTAAAGGGATTTGCAATGAATCAATGATGCATTGAACACACCTGAAATAATTATCATAGGATGAATCTTTGAATTTATGAGCTTTTCTGCCTCGCTCAAAAGTTCCCCAGCCAAAACAACTACTGAAGTTGTCCCATCACCAACCTCATCGTCTTGGACTTTTGAAATGTCTAACAAAGTCATTAAGGTTCTTGACATATAATAGACAAATCAACATTACTCTTCTCTAGTTCTCTACTTTCTGCATCGTTCAACTTTTAACAGTATGATCTCTGTCACTTTTCTATTTTGGTCCATTTCCCAGGAGCCACTAGGAACATAGAGGAGTCTTGGAAGTCCACTTCAATTTGAAAATTCATAATGGATTAATGACACCATAAAGGCATAAACAATCCCTCTAAATTAAAAGGATTTGATTTACATTAGCAACACAAAGACCAGTGAGCCCAAAAGTTTTCCAGCAAAATGACTAACAGCAAGATTAAGGATACCAACAAGAACTTTAGCAGCTGGGTTATCTATATGGAGGGACTTTAGGATGGTTGCACCATCATTTGTAACTGTAACACTGTGACCCCTGCCAGTTGATTGTAAAATCTTGTCCTGTTAAACAAAAACAAACAGCAAGAATTTAAACCAAAGTTACCAAACTTTAACATCTTGTTTGAAACTATCAAACGAAAATTGGAAATGAATTTTTACCATTCCTTTTGGCCCTAAGGTTGTCTTCACCAAATCAGCAATTGCCATTGCCCCCACAAAGGATGCCTAAAATCAGGGATAGAAAAGCAGATATAAGTCACACTAGTAAAACAAGTAATACCTACAGCCGGCAAGAAAATTAAAGCACAATATCTGAGAGAAATCTACAAACATAGCAACAGCACATCCATCTCCTTATTTCCTATGGAAGAGTCTAATATGATCAACACTTAAATATTTTATAATGATTTTTTTTTTTTTTTGGGTATAGTAATTCTTCTACTTCCTTAAAAGATTACTCTTATGACAGAAGCTCTACAATATTTCCTTAATCAATTTACATCTAAACTGTACAACTACGTTTCGGAATGTGAGAAACTGATATCATTTGTCAAGTGTGATCCTCATTTAGCAAACATTACAACAATTGTAAAGTCATTTAATGAGTAACCTTAAGAAAAAAGTCATAGGACTCATGATCTACGAGTTTTAACCAATTGCGTTGTCAGAGCATCTCGTCCTACATAAATTTAAAAATAAAGGGAGCCAAAGATTAGTTTGTTAACATAAAACTTACCATTCGAGCTCGCTCGCCCTTTTCTTCGGAAGCTTCATCTTTTAAAATTTTACCAACCTTGGAGAAAATAAAAATAGATCAAGATGTACAAATAATCAGAAAATAAAGAGATAAACGCAGTATTAATGTGGCATTGAAAATGTAGCAGCGCCTAAAGACCATACCGCCATGGGAATCCAAGCACTGAGGTCTGAGAGATGAAGGTGGAATGAAGCGGGGATTTTACGTAAAACTGTTGAATCAATCTCTGTGGTTGTAAAACGTAAATTGAAATAGGCGTGTAATTTCCTTAGTTCATTAAGGGTAAAGTTGTCTTGTAACAAAGGATAGGCCCATCTCGCGACCCGCACTGACTTTTCCCAATCATTCTTGCATGGAACATGATCCACACAATTGTTTATATCATAAATAAAAAGTACATTTTTAATATACTAAGGGTACATTATTTATGTATATAATGTACATTTTTTGAAAGTACATTTTTAATATATTAAGGATACATTATTTTATATAATGTACCTTCAGTACAAAAATAATATACATTCAGTACAAAAATAATATACTTTTAATACATTAAAAATGTACCTGATATTCATGGTCCACACAATAATTTGTCATCTTTTCCTTGTTTTGAATTTACATACTTATTACATGCGCGCCCTTTCCTAATTCGAAATTGGACATACAACATTCTCTTTTTAAATAAGGGTCAAATAGGCGACTTTGTACACCAAATTGTAATTAGACATCGAACTAAAAAAAATACAATTGGGTCCTGTTTGGTAAAATGACTGTTAGCTGATTGTGTTACTTAGAGGGTATAAATAGTTGATAACATTAGCTGATTGTAGAAACGTGTTTGGTAAATTAGCTATTAGCTGATAGCTGTTTGGTATAATTTTTTTTTCTCAAAAAGCTACTTGAAAAAATTGCTTGGAGTAGTTTTTTGAATTTTAGCCTTTTGGAGTTGCAAAAAGTTAATTAACCAAACATTTATATTGATATTTTAACTAAATCAAACAATTAATAATGGTCAAATAAACCAAAATTGCCTATAGGCCAATTTTTTACCAAACAGGGCCTTGATCTTTTAACAACATAAACTCATGCAATTTAATTAAAAATGACATGTTTACCTAAAAATGCACTGACATGGCAGTTACAAATTTTAGAAATAATTTTAAATAAAATAATTAATTAAAATTTTAAATAAAAAAATTAAAAAAAAAAAAACAAAACAAAAAAAACAAGAACTGCCGGCCAGCGACAAAGACCTTCATCTCCATAGTAAGGAGATGAAGGTCCCTTCGTCTCCCTGGTCATAGAGACGAAGTCTTTCCGGGCGGCAGCTCTTGTTTTTTTTAAAAAAAAATAATTATTTATTTAAAATTGTTTAAAATATTTACTTTTAAAATTAATAATCGTCACATCAGCATACTTTAGGTATACAGGTATTTTGAGTTAAATTATATGAGTTTGTGTTGTTTAAAAACTCAATTGTAATTTTTTTAGTTTGATGACCTAATTGCAATTTGGTGAGCAGTTGCATGTCCTATTTGACTATTATTTCTTTTCTTTTTTTTTTTTTAACCTTTTGTATACTCTTAAGGCCTTAAGGTGATGTTTGGTTGGATGGAAAATTTGTTTTAAGGTGGAGGAAAATGTTGTTTTTTGATGTTTGGTTCATGGAATTTATTTTTCATTGGAAAATAAATTATTCAAATTTGAGAAAAACAAAATTCTTAGTTCCACATGGGATTTTGTTTCCATGGAAGATTGGAAGTAAAAATGATATGATTTGACTATTTTACTCATGCTTTCTTTCTTAATTATATTACTCTTATTAATTTGTAGTAACATGTATTTCTTTATACTCGTTATTCCTTACAATTTCAAATCTAACTAAACAATAGAATTTAGTATTCTCAATAAATTTTTCCCATCAACCAAACAATGAAATTCATTCATATTCTTAGTAATTATTTTTCTATAAAATTTCAATTCTATTTCCCTTAAAATATTATCCGCAAACCAAACGGGTCCTAATTATAATCGCTATTTGAAAATATGTATCAAATCGAATTATTATCTCGCACCCTCACAGATAATCTATTTTTTTCGGATCATCACGCTTGAGACATCCATCAACTGCATTCTTGAAAATGCCAAAAAATTCATTGCCGATAATGGTTTCCATGCATCTACTAAGGTTTATAGCAACTACGAAGTATTAGTTAATTAATTATGCTCCGTGACATACTACAAAGAAATAGAGGAGCTTAATTGTACATATCTATATTAGTTGAATAACAAATATTTTTAATATGATATAATATAAATTAATTAATTATGAAAATATTATTATGGTAATATTATACATAATTGGTTTAACCAAATCATAAATGAGTCAATTGAATAAAAAAATATTTTAAATATGACACAATATAGACTAACTAGTATTTTTTTCTGTGTGTTGCACGGAATGGATTTGCTATAATATTTAAAAAATATTTGGATCAATATATAATTATATAAATTATAACAACAAATATTATATAGTGCAATTGATGAAATGTGTTTGATCGATTAAGTTTTCTGATGTCATCCTTTCTTGAATTCCAGCAAATAATTGTCCAATTACATATTGTTATAGAAAAGAAAACGAAAAATGATCCATACTTGACTGAAAATGGAAAAAGAAAAATATTATTAATTATTATATTCCTTAATAAGTGTTAGTGATTATTATTCTTTTTTTATTGAATAATAATTATTATTCCTTAATAAGTATTATAATTTTCTAATTGACTGATTATTATTATTCATTAATAAGTATTACTGATTGTTATTCATTTTCTATTGAATGATTATTATTATTCATTAATAAGTATTGGTATTAAAAAAAAAAAAAACTATTGGTATTCCATAACAGGGCGTTTGGTTGGAGGAAGGGAATTACGTGGAAAATGAATTGCAATTCAATGGGAGATAAATTACTGGAATGAAGTGGGAATTTTTTTATTATTATTATAAGGAAGGGGGATACCCTACATATACACACTATTGCCTCAATTGAAGTTCGAACCTTACACCTCCCACTTAGGGGAGCAATCCGATACCAATGGACTACAAGCCACTTGGTTTTGAAGTGGGAATTTAAATTCATGTGTTTGGTTTACAGGAATAAAATTACTGGGAATTTCAATTTCAATGTTTAGTATACATTTGAATTGAAAGGGAATAAACAGTATAAAGTCCAAAATGTCCATAGTTGTTGTCAGGCATCAATTTTAGGTTAAAAAATGGGAGGGTAGTTTTGTCTTGTCATTATCTTTTTTTTTTTTCCCTAAAATCCATGAAAATGAGGGAATTACAATTCCTTCTAACAAAACTAAGGAATTTATTAGTGGTATTTGGAATTAGGTGAGAATTAAGTGGGAATGAAATTTAAATTCCCTCCAATCAAACGCCCTGTAAGTGACTAATGATTATTATTCCTTAAGAAGTATTATCTATTATTATTTCTTTTCTATTGAATGATTATTATTATTTCTTAATTAACTAATTATTATTATTCCTTAATAAGTAATTAAGTATTACTGATTATTATATATAAGGAAACGAAAATTACTTAATAAGTATTACTTATTATTTTTTTATTGAATGATTATTGTTATTTCTTAATAAGTATTATTATTCCCTAATTGATTGATTATTATTATTTCTTAATATGTTTTACTGATTATTATTCTTTTTTTTTTAATGTTACTGGCTCTATTACAATGTAGTATCTGTTCATATACTTTCTCAACCTACTGAAATACAAAGAACCAATAACGCCTCCATTGAAGCTTGAACTCACAACCTTCCAAATAGAAGTCCAACCCGAGTACTATTATTATTAATCCTTAATAAATATTATTATATATTTCCAAATTGAATGATTATTATTATTCCTTAATATGTACTTATTATTATTTCTTTTTTTATTGAGATTATTATTTTCGTTAATACGTATTATTATTTCCTAATTGACGGATGATTATTATTTCTTAATAAGTATTATTGATTTTTTTTATTGAATGATTATTATTACTTTGATAAGTAGTAAAATTGACTAATTGAGGGAGTAGGATTTTTAGTAAGTACAACCCTATAAAATTAGGCAGTGGTCTTCGAAATTTCAATCCTGCTCTGCTTCTCGAATCTCGAGCACTCCACTCACTGAGCAGCTTAAACCACTCGCATAGAAAAATGTCGATCAAAATCGGAATCATAGGGTGCGCCGATATCGCCCGAAAGGTTGCACGGGCTATCAATCTATCACAGAGCGCCACCCTTTACGCCGTAGGCAGCCGTAGTCTCGAAAAGGCCAAGAAATTTGCCGCCGAGAATGGTTTCCCGGCTTCCGCTAAGGTCTACGACAGTTACGAAGCCGTTCTTGATGACCCGGATGTCGACGCCGTCTATATGCCCCTCCCGACGTCTCTGCACGCCAAGTGGGCTGTCTTGGCTGCCCAGAAACAGAAACACTTGCTGCTCGAGAAGCCCGTGGCGCTGAATGCCAAGGAATTCGATACGATTTTGGAAGCATTCGAGTCCAATGGGTTGCAACTTATGGACGGTACCATGTGGATGCACCACCCTCGCACCGCTAAGATGAAGGAATTCATCTCCAATCCGGACCTGTTTGGTGAACTCAAATCGGTACTCAGATTAAAGAAATAAATTCAATGGATTTAAAACCTTAAAAAAGATTCGTTCTTTTTGTTAATAATGGCTTTAGAACTGATGGGTAGTTGATATCTGGTGAACATTACAGGTGCACAGTAGTTTCACATTTGGTGCTGATCCTAACTTTCTTGAAAATGACATTCGTGTGAAGCCAGACCTTGATGGTCTGGGTGCTCTTGGGGATGCTGGGTGGTATTGCGTCAGGTCCATTTTGTGGGCAGCTGATTTTGAGCTGCCCAAATCTGCAATTGCTTTGAGGAACCCTGTGTTCAACAAATCTGGGGTGATTATAGCTTGTGGTGCTTCTTTATATTGGGAAGATGGGAAAGTGGCAACTTTTAAGTGCTCCTTTTTGTCAAACATGACAATGGACGTGACAGCTATTGGAAGTAATGGCACTCTGTATCTTCATGGTTTTGTGATCCCATATGATGAGAAAAAGGCTTCTTATACGACTGGCACAAAATCTGGACTTACTGAGTTTGTGAGAGAATGGGATCCAAAGCCTAGTGAGCACATTGTCACAACAGACACTCCCCAGGAAGTTCTGATGATTGAGGAGTTTTCGAGGTTAGTTGCGAGTATTAAAAAGGATGGCTCAAAACCAGAGAAAAGGTGGCCAACCTTTAGTAGGAAGACTCAGCTGGTTTTGGACGCTGTGAAGACATCGATTGATAAAGGTTTTGAGGCTGTAGAGATTGTGAGTTGAGTCAACATATTTATGTTGCAAATGGTATTAGTGCTGTTCGGCTGAATAAGCAGCTTTATGTGCTGTAATGTTATGTACTCGTCCTACATAAATTTAAAAATAAATGGAGCCAAAGATTAGTTTGTTAACATAAAACTTACCATTCGCCCTTTTCTTCTGAAGCTAGGCTTCATCTTTTAAAATTTTACCAACCTTGGATAAAAAAAAAATAGATCAAAATGTAGAAATAATCAGAAAAGAAAGAGATAAACGCAGTATTAATGTGGCATTATATTGAAAATGTAGCAGCGCCTAAAGACCATACCGCCATGGGAATCCAAGACTGAGGTCTGAGAGATGAAGGTGGAATGAAGCGGGGATTTTAGGTTAAACAGTTTAATCAATCGCCAGTGTATTGTATGCCCTGCCTTCTACTCATACCTTGCATGGGCGAGACATTATTTGCATGAATTCACGTGGTTCTATTAAAATTTAATATCAAATTAAATATTATATCTTGTTGATGATATTATATAAACTGGTATTTGTCCCGTGCGATGCACGGAAAATATGTTATAAAAATATACACTATATGAGTTTATTCATATATAAAATTTTTGTTATTTAATAATTATTATGTGTGAATTCCTGTGATAAAATTATGAACATAAATATATTTACAATTAAAATAATATTTAAGGTGGGTGATTACTACAAATTTTAAACTATATTGAAAATTTAGTACATAGTATTTTTTTTTTTGAATGCTACTAGCTCTATTACAATGTAGTATCTGTTCATACTTTCTCAACTTACTGAAACACAAAGAGAGAGCCAATAACGCCTCCACTAAGGCTCGAAATCACAATCTTCCAAATGGAAGTCCAACCCGGATACCATTAGACCACATAGTCCTGATTAGTACATAGTATTTAATATTATAAATTTTTAAGAACTTAGTAAACTACAATAGTAATTGAATTACAATTTTAGAGTCACCACGGATCAAAATTTCTAGACCTTTGAGATTTCTAACTCTAGATGTAACGTCAATTGTACATCATATAATCTTAATGTTACTAAGCCGACTTGTTGCTTGAATTTAGTCCTCAATATGCACATCAACAATCTTAAATATTAAGCCACATAGCTATGCTATATATTAATTTCAAACTTATGGACTTTGGGGTTGCATGCATGCTTCTTACAGCCATACATTTAATTTTCACATCTTAAAGTAATTTTCACATCTTAAAGTCCATTTAATTTTCACAAGACTTTCACATCTTAAAGCCATATGGTCTTGTGAAAATTAAATGCAACATTCAATTTTCACAAGACCATATAGCTTTATTATATATAGGATAGGATTTATATCTTTTGTATTTATTAATTATTGAATTATTGGTTAATTTTAGTTTAAATTGTTATGTACAAATCATGTCAAATTATATTGTAATACTTGATACTAAATTAAATGATGTTGTGGGGTAATGAGTGTACGAGTATAAAATGTAGTCGTCAAATGATTGAGAGTATGTCATGTAATATGCAATAATAAGAAAAATAAAACAATTATATATTAAAAATGATATATATATATATATATATATATATATATATATATCATTAGTCACTGGTCGAATCCTATTTAAATTTTAACAATTACTTTAAGTAAGTCAAATAAGTTACTTCGGATATTACATGGACTCCCAAACTTCGATAGTTATATCGTAAACTCAGGTCAAAATACACAATTTATATACTGATTGTTTAATTACAATTTACATATTGAATGTTCACAATTTAAATTATGAAGGGAAATGGAATTGAAATTCCATGGAAAATAAATTCCAAGAAAATAGATATTTTCCATGGAAAACAAAATACCTAGGATGAGTTAGGAATTGGTTTTCCTCATTCTTAAGGAAAACTTTTTCCAATGGAAAATGTTTTCCATCCAACCAAACAACATAAAACATCATTTTCCTTCACTTTTAGGAAAACATTTTCCATGGAAAATGTTTTCCATCCAACCAAACACCCCTTAGAGTTTTTTCCCGTTTTGGTCCCTTCACTATTGCTCATTCTCAATTTTGCATTCCGACTTTTAATTGCACCCAATGTGATCCCTTGACTTTAAAAAATTACCCCAATTTGGTCCTTGTTACCTTTTCCATCAACCAGCCGTTAAGTTGGGGGGTATTTTGGTCCATTCATCTGCTTGACCCTAAGGAAATGGGTAATCATGTCTCGGTTTCGCCGGCGATCATCTCTTACCCGGTAATGGAAGGCTCCTCGCTGATTGCTCCGCCGGCGGTTTATGCATCGGCGCAAGAACTCACCGACTCCAAATCGGTGCAACCTAATTTTAATATCACTTGGAAAATGGACATTAATGTTCATTTCTGGTACCTTATTTGTCTCCATTTATGTGATATTGTTAGCAAGTCATTGAATGAACTGTATTTCAACGACAAGATAACCATTTCGGGGCTGGACATGTCAGCATTGACGAGAAAGTTGGCGACGGCGTACTACAAAGATATTGTGGTGAATTCTACCATGGTTACCAGTCTGTTGGAGATCAAAGTTTCCCCGATAGATGATGAAGCTTAGGGCACGAGAAATGTCATCCTTAATGGGCTCGAGGTGTTTAAGATGAATAATTTCATGGGGAGCCTAGACCGAGAATTCGGTGTCTTCCGAAAACGGATGCGCGTTAGCGCAACAACTTCTATTTATTTCACCAAGGAAGACGCGGATGACACGAGAGTGTTGGAGGGTAATAACAGCAACCGTCAAACGGTGGCAGCTGTCGGATTCGCCATGATGTTCGGTTCGTTCGTGGGTGGGGTTGGGGGCGATGCCGTCAAGTGGCGGAAGTGGTCGCAAGACTGGCAGAGGAGGAAGAGTTTCTCGTCGTGGTTGCTTCCCGTCCACGTCGGAGACGCAACTTTCACGAACCCCAACAACAAGACTCCGTCAGGATCACGGTAGAATAACCTTTATTCTCATCAACATCCGATTTGGCAGGTATTTCTCTTTCTCGAAATTGCAGGTAGCTACCAACAACTGGGAGATAACCAAAATCATCGGCATCGGATGATTCGACAATATGTATTTGGGGTTGGTGGACGAGAGAACAACAAAATGATTCTAGTTTATGAATACATGTCTAATGGCCCCTAATGGGACCATCTTTACGGCAATAATTTTCCGTCGCTTTCATGGAACCAACGCCTAGAAGTCTGCATCGGAGCAGCCCTGGACTGCATTACCTGCATACCGACGCGGCGCAGGGAATAATCCACCGGGACGTGAAGAGCACAAACATCTTGCTCGACGAAAACTTGGTTGCGAAAATGGCGGATTTTGGGCTCTCCAAAAACGCATCCTCCAGGTCGGAGAAGACGCACGTGAGCACCTCCGTGAATGGACTAAAATACCCCCAACTTAACTTTTGGTTGATGGAAAAGGTAATGGAGGATCAAATTGGAGTAATTTTTTAAAGTCAAGAAACCACATTGCGTGCAATTAAAAGTCGGAATGCAAAATTGAGAATGAGCGATAGTAAATGGACCAAAGTGAGAAAAAAATCTTTACTCTTATTCACAAGTCCTTGATGTTTGACACTTTTTGAAGATTCACACGATGAAAATTATACTATCCTTAATTGTAACATCATAAAGAAAAAAGCCAAAGAGTAGAATTTAGGATTGATGTCTACATCAACGGGGTGTTTGCTTGGAAGGGAAGAATTAGAGGGGGAAAATGAATTGTAATTCGGTGATAAAAGAATAAGGTGAGAATAAAGTAGAAATTCAAATTACGTTGTTTGGTAGGGAGAAATAGAATTTTGGAGTTGAGAATGAAACAAGTGGTATAAAGACTAAAATACCATTGTGTAATAATAATAGTAATAACAACTAAGGGTAGTAGTGTCGTTTCATTTATTTTTCCTTTCTCAAATTCAACAAAAGGAGGGAATAACAATTTTGTCCCTCCAACCAAAAATGTAATTGGGGCATTAGGTTTTATATAAAAGACAATTATAAAATTGGAAAAAGTGTCAAATTGGCCTCATAAGTAAAGTGGATAGTGCAATTGGGTCCCCTAAGTGAAAAAAGCTTCATTCAGGTTCTCTAAATCGGTAAAATTGTTCAATTAAGTCTAAATTGACATATTTATCAGGTTAAATGCATACGGTGTTGACACATGTCCTTATTTTATTTATTTTATTAAAAATATTATTTATTATAAATTAATAATAATAATAATAATTAAAAAATTTAGAAATTAAAAAAAAAAAAAAAAAAAAAAACAACCATCGGCTGTCCACGCCGGACAGCTTGTAGCTATGTTCCTTCTTCAAGGACAGTCGTGGCGTGTTTTATTTATTTATTTATTTTTATAATAATAATAATTATTATTTTAATTAATTTATAATATATAACATTTTAAATTAAAAAAAATAAAATAAAGACAGGTGTCAACACCATAAGCATTTAACCTAATAAACAAGTCAACTTGAATTTAATTGAACAATTTTACAGATTTAAGAGATGTGATGAAGTTTTTTCACTTAGGAACCCAATTGCACTGTAATTTATGAGGCCAATTTGACATTTTTTCCTTATAAAATTAGGCAGTGGTCTTCGCAATTTCAATCCTGCTGCGCTTCTCGAATCTCGAGCACTCCACTCACTGAGCACCTTAAACAACTCGAATAGAAAATGTCGGTTTCGCCGCCGATCCAAATCGGAATCATTGGGTGCGCCGAAATCGCCCGAAAGGTTGCACGGGCCATCAATCTATCACAGAGCGCCACCCTTCACGCCGTCGGCAGCCGCAGTCTCGAAAAGGCCAAGAAATTTGCCGCCGAGAATGGTTTCCCGGCTTCCGCTAAGGTGTACGGCAGTTACGAAGCCGTTCTTGATGACCCGGATGTCGACGCCGTCTATATGCCCCTCCCGACGGCTCTGCACGCCAAGTGGGCTGTCTTGGCTGCCCAGAAGCGGAAACACTTGCTGCTCGAGAAGCCCGTGGCGCTGAATTCCAAGGAATTCGATACGATTTTGGAAGCATTCGAATCCAATGGGTTGCAACTTATGGACGCTACCATGTGGATGCACCACCCTCGCACCGCTAAGATGAAGGAATTCATCTCTAATCCGGACCTGTTCGGTGAACTCAAATCGGTACTCAGATTAAAGAAATAAATTCAATGGATTTAAAACTTTGTTCTAGTTGTCTCATGTAGTGGTTTAAACTTCACTTTAGTATTTCATTTTTCAATCAATCCTTAAAAAGATTCTTTCTTTTTGTTAGTAATTAGCTTTAGAAGTGATGGGTATTTGATATCGGGTGAACATTGCAGGTGCACAGTCATTTCACATTTGCTGCTGATCCAGACTTTCTTGAAAATGACATTCGTGTGAAGCCAGACCTTGATGCTCTGGGTGCTCTTGGCGATGTTGGGTGGTATTGCATCAGGTCCATTTTGTGGGCAGCTGATTTTAAGATGCCCAAATCTGTAATTGCTTTGAGGAACCCTGTGTTCAACAAATCTGGGGTCATTATGGCTTGTGGTGCTTCTTTATATTGGGAAGATGGGAAACTGGCAACTTTCCAGTGCTCCTTTTTGTCAAACATGACAATGGATGTCACTGCTATTGGAACTAATGGCACTCTGTATCTTCATGGTTTTGTGATCCCATATGATGAGAAAAAGGCTTCTTATATGACTGGCACAAAATCTGGATTTACTGAGTTTGTGACAGAATGGGATCCAAAGCCTAGTGAGCACATTGTCACAACAGACATTCCCCAGGAAGTTCTGATGGTTGAGGAGTTTTCGAGTTTAGTTGCGAGTATTAAAAAGGATGGCTCAAAACCAGAGAAAAAGTGGCCAACCTTTAGTAGGAAAACTCAGCTAGTTTTGGACGCTGTCAAGACATCGATTGAGAAAGGCTTTGAGCCCGTAGAGATTGTGAGTTAAGTGTCCATGTGACTATTGTGTGAACATATTTATGTTGCAAATGGTATTGCAGCTTATAATGTAGTGCTATTCGGCTTGAATAAGCAGTTTATGTGCTGTACCGTTCTGTACTCAATGTTTGTGTTTTAAGATTGTTGATAAAATCCTTGCCAAAAGCCCAATTGAAAATGGGATTCTAAGTATATGAGGCCTCATTTCTCTCGTTGCCCTGATGAGAAATATTGGTTACAAAATTCTCGATGCCTTCTTAGGGATGCTAAACCGAGTTGCTGATAGACGAGCTGTGGAAGGCTTGCATGATGGATCAAAGTCCCGCTATCCGACACCTCAAAAGCTACCTCAATAAGGTACCTCCTCGATCTTTACATTGAGAATTTTAATCTATGAAATTATCATCTTTATTAGTGCAATATGTATAAACAGATACATGTACTGTTTAGAATCCCGGATGCCATATATTTTCACTGCACAAACAATGCTAACCCTCTCTGAAACATTGAAAGACCGGTAGAGACATGATGCTGCATAAAGACACTAGCAATCAATTTGGACTATAACGATAATCAATGCATAATGGTTCAAATTTCCAAATCATATGAGTTTCGAAAAAGTGACAATCTCTTGATCCATGGTGCATTTTGGGAGGCAAATTAGATTCTGAGAGAATTATATAATATTCATGCTCTCGGATATTTGATCATAAATTACTTGATTTGCTACTCTGGATCCATCTGACACATTTTGGGAGGCAAATTACATGCTGAGAGAATTATATAATATTCATGTCAACATCCAAATCTTGGTATCAGATATTTGATCATAAATTACTTGATTAGCTGTCCTTACTCTGGATCCATCTAACACAAGATATTGGGCATTACATGCTCTCAAATGATTGCTTGGTCCGTTTGGATATGAATAATGGGAACTAAAAAGGATTGGCATGACATGCTCTCAAGAAGGTCAATTGACAGCTCCCACAGGGAGTCCAACTTGGAACCTTGTAATTGCCAAGTCAACTGTCCGACCAAGTTGGTTGGGGACTGCCTCTTGATTTTATGGAAAGCAAGAAATGCCCTGGCCTAATTTCTTCTTGTTTCAAAGGTTGAATCCCCAACTCCAATGGCCCCCACGCCCCGGCCTGGACTTTGAATCAATAATTGTTACATGTTCTATATAATTTGTCTCAAATTTTGTCTTGTGGGTTCGATTTCATCAACTCTCTGGTTTTGTTCCAAGTTCTTTATTATTAAATTAGGCTCTGTACTTTGAGACAAATTATTTGGGACATTTAGCAGCATGCTTGAAATGAAATAGTTCAAAAAATGCACTTTTGGCCACCTCAATTCTGTGACTATGTATTGCCATTGTATTCATTCATGATGATAAATCCCTTTCTTCTGTAATAAATGCTATTATAAGTCGTTTATGTATCTTAACATCTTCATAGTCCAGATCATATGACTACTTCCTCTTGAAAATGATAGTGGCATTGGCATGAAACCAAAACCATTTGGTTGTCGTTTCTTACTATGATGCACGAAAACATTTTTAGGTGGAGTTTGGTTGACTTTTATACATTATTATATCATATTTGATACACATTATTATGTTTATCAATTTTTGTTATCCTGTTATCCGATTCAAATTTTATTGTAATCATAAAACTCATTACCATTTTTTAAAGAACAAATACCAATTTTGGTGCAAAATGACAGTTTTGGTTTACATGTTTAATTCTTACCAATTTTCATCCATGACTATAGTTCTAGTATCAATTTTCATCCACAATTATTGTTTTAGTGTTAAAATTCATTATGTCGGGGTCACCCTTTTGTTTAAGACATGCCGAAATATGAAATTATTAAGGATATAGAATAAATGGATTTAAGCCCTAAGATTGATTCCAATTCGTAGTTTTTTTTCCCTCAAATTAAGGTAGGATGATGAGGAGAATTGTGAATTGAGATTGATCTTAAGGCTTAAATCCCTTTATTCATACTCAAATTAAGACTTAATTTGAAAATGACAAAAATACCTTTAAATTTTAGATAATGACATGTCTTAAACGGAGGGGTTATCAGCGTGATGAATTTTAGTGCTAAAACAATAGTTATAGATGAAAATTGGTACTAAAACAATATTTGTGGATGAAAATTGGTCGGATTAAAGATGTGGATCAAAATTATCATTTTATTAATACTCGTGGGACCAAAATTAGTATTTACTCATTTTCTAATTTACTTTTGAACAATGGAAAGAAAAAAAATGTCATTACCCATGCATTCAATATGGATTTATAATATATATATACACATAGCTTGGGTTCAAATAAGAACAACCTAACCCCTTTGTAAATCAAGAAAATTTATCTTAGCTGCTTATCATAGTTCATTAACAGTTGAAGGATTTTAGTTTAAAAAATAAGAGGTCAATTTTATAATTATTATAAATTTTTAAGTTTCTAATATTTATACAATTGATCTATCTAATTTTTTTTTTATTTATCGACAACTTTCAACCGTTGATCTATTAGATTAGTCAGTATTCATGTTCTCACACCTTCCCCTATGCACAATGGAACTACTAATATATATATATATATATATATATATATATATATATATATATATATATATATTCCATTTATTTGAGTAAATCGATGGTTGAGTGTCCTTAAAGTGTGTGCGCGCACTTTTTTATTTTATTTTATTCTTTTAATAACCCTCAATTATTAATGAGTGTTGCTATTTGCACCACCCTTTGACCAAAAGACATCTTGAAATTGTAAAAAGTGAAAGCTTTTAATAATTAATAGGGGGTGTAAATAGCCAAATGAGAATACATTTTGCTATTTGCACCACCTGGTCAAACTTACAATTAATAATTTATTAATTCATTATTTAATTAATTAAAATATTAAAAAAAAAATTGAAACGTCGCCTTCTCCGTTGAGAAGGCGACGGACTGCCTTCTCACCGGAGAAGGCAACTGGGCTGCCTTCTCACCGGAGAAGGCGACCCAGGTAGGCTTCTACCTGGGTTGCCTTCTCACCGGAGAGGGTGACGGATTTTTTTTTTTTTTTTTTTTTTTTTTTAACTGGGCTGCCTTCTCCGGTGAGAAGGCAGCCCGTCGCCCTCTCACCGGAGAAGATGACGAGTTCATCTTCTTCTTTTTTTTTTTTTAAATTAATATTTGGATGGTTAAAAAAATTGAATAATAAATATTAATTTTGACCACATTTAATAATGGTGGACTTTTATATTTGCACCACCTATAAAGCTATTAGACCTATTAAATAAGTGGTGCAAATAGCAAAATAGGTGGTGTAAATAGAATTTCCCTTATTAATGAACATGATGACCAGCTGTAATTAATCTTTACTTTTTACAAGATGATATTTTTCTCATTTAAACTATTCCCCTATATATACACACATGTTTTTTTCATGTTTGTATAATACAATTTTCAGTGTTCCAGTTTCTCTTCTTGTTCTACCAATGTTTGTTTCTTAAGCATTTCTGAAGATATTATAATGATATTTTTCATTATAATAAAATTGGAGATATACTCTTAAAGAATATATTTATTATTAAATAAATTGATTCAAACATACCTAACTGCAGACTTTTTTTGAGTGGTTTATATGACTACATGCATACACGATGCGTATATAAACGTATATATGCATGCTTACCTAATTTGTTTTTATATACATATAAATCCGTTAAGACGATGAGTAGTGGCCAAGAAAACCATTGAGACATTGACCAGTTAAACAAGCAAAAAACAACTACGCATGCAATTCATCCTTAAAAGTTAAAACAGTGGGCGCGGTGCAGCTAAGAATAGAAAATTTCAAATGTAAGAATTTTCATCTTAAGGATATATGCTATGCCGCCGTTAAGAATAGGAAGGAAAAGTCTAATAATGTTTGGTCCAGACTGGTTATGGTGATGTCGTGAAAGGTGAAAGGCCGGGTTAAACTTTATAGAAAACAGTTTGGTTGGACAGTTAATTTTGTAATCATAAAGTTTAATGTTTAACTTTTTATGGAAATTATGTATTGACTTCTTTAATTTGAATCGCTCAATTATAACAATTTAAGATGATTTATGTTTTTTTGTAGTCTTTTGTCAATTAAAATTACAATATGAGTTTCACTCCTGTCGCCACACCTTCAAGTAGTAATAGTTGCATAATTCCCGTAAATGAGAGGAATGAATATATTTGTTTCATGCATTCACATTCGTATACGTTAACCCCAATTTTTAGAAAGGATGTTCAAATCCCATTTTAAGCAAAAATGCATTTTTACCCAACATATTATTATTGGTTGTCCATTCCACTGTGTGGTGAAGAAATTATCTCGTAAAAATTAATGAAAAAAAAGTGTCAAATAAATCACTCGTTTATGTGTATTTGGATCATTAAATTTAGGAATAAGGTTCAAATTGGCCACTGAACGTAACCTGAAAATGCAATTAGGTCACTGAACAAAAGAAAAAGTGCAATTAGGCCACTAAACACACTAAAAACGTGCAATTAGGCCACTGAACACTCCAAATGTATGCAGTTTTACCGGATAGCAAGTTACCATCAATTTTAGCAGGTTACCTGCTTACGTGGCAACTGAGTTGGCATTTTTAATAATTTTTAAAGTAAATATAATAATAAATTTTAATTTTTTAAATAAATTTTAATAATAAATTTTAAATTTTACTTACCATGCTTTTTTTTTTTTTATTTTTTTTAAAATTTATTATTAAAATTTATTACAAATTATTTAAAAATACCAACTCAACTACCACGTAAGCAGGTAACCTGCTAAAATTGATGGTAACCTGCTATCAGGTGAAATTGCATACATTTGGAGTGTTCAGTGGCCTAATTGCACTTTTTTTTTTGTTCAGTGGCCTAATTACATTTTCAGGTTACGTTCAGTGGCTAATTTGAACCTTATTCCTTAAAGAGTTAATATCCAAAATGATCCCTCGACTATGCCATAATTACCAATTTGGTCCTCAACTACCATTCTTACCCAATTAAGTCCTCAACTATGTAACTTTTACTCAATTAAGTCCTCAACTATACAATTCTTACCCAATTTAGTCCTCAACTATACAATTCTTACCCAATTTAGTCCTCTGTATTAATTTGACTGTTTGTTGACTGTCAAAAGTCGGGATAAAATTATAATTTGAGTAAATACCCAAAATGGTCCCTCGACTATAGCTAAATTCACAAATTGGTCCTTGACTTTCAATTTCAACCAATTAAGTCCTTAACTTTGTAATTTTAACACAATTTGGTCCTTTGTCTATTTGACCGTTTGTTGACTATGATTTTTGAGGATATATATGTAATTCCATGGTCTATCATCGGTTTTTTAAGGTTCCGGTTGCATTTCCAGACCGCATTGTTACATTCGAATCCACTGCCGTAAGCAATCTACCAAATCCGGTCGCCTTTCTTCATCCTCCATTTGGATTCAATGTACTTGAGTTCGTACCAGAGCGAAGAAGACGGCGTGTTTTCGAACTGGTGCAACGTCATCCTGGAGGCCTCCACGTGCTCCGACGAGAGCTGAAGGTTCTTTTGGAGATCGTCGATCACGGTCAACAAACGGTCAAATAGATGGAGGACCAAATCGTGTCAAAATTACAAAGTTAAGGACTTAATTGGTTGAAATTAAAAGTTGAGGACCAATTTGTGAATTTAGCTATAGTCGAGGGACTATTTTGGGTATTTACTCTTCCTTAAATTTAAAAAGAGTGCAATTAAACTTTAAAGTTAAATGTGTGCACTTGGGACATTTTTTCAATTGTTCTGTTGGAATCTGCTCATAATCCTTACGTAGCATGTACATACTCAGAATAGCTCTTTCATTTGCGGTATTAGTTTGGATTAAAGATTAACATGTTTTCAACTCAAATTGCATTAAAAGAAATCAGAAAAATATCTCAATTACATATATGTTACTTGTTTGATTATTTTATTATACACTTTTTAAGTTTGGTGATTTATTTGACACTTTTTTTTTAAAATTAATTAGTCCAAATTAAATGGAACAATGATATAATAATAATTATAATAATAATAATACGGAGTAATAATAATAATAATAATGTTGAATTAATTAGTAAGTAATTTTATTTTTTTTTTGAATGATGAGGGAAATTCACATTTATTCTTCGAGGGTGTGCATCGACGGTAAACTCCCGCTTTCGTTGAGAATCAAATTTGTAACCTTGTGGTTATTAAATCAACAGTCTGATCGACTAACTCGGCTGAAGTTGCACCTAATAGTAAGTAATTAATTCTAGTTTATGATGCATGTTTTCATTAATAAGGTTTTTAATTTATTACTAATTCACAATATAATGTTTTCTTTTTTGCCAGCGTAGCTTGTAGGAATTGTACGAGCAGCCGATCATATCGTATCGATGTCTAGCTGGTAGCAAGGAATATTGACCTTCAATAATTCGAATCCTTTTTACTCCAAATCAAATATCCATTATTCAAATTTCAAACGCAAAGACAAGTCAGACATTGGACCAACCAAATCAAACACGGTTTTCTTCATTCCTTGGTACGTGAAACAAATGATTACAAAACATCCTGGTATACGAATTGAAGTGGTATGGTTTTATAATTAAAATGTGACTTAATCCTTGTCAACGTAACATAGTTCTTCCCCGCCAACCCCATTCTTCCTTCAACGCGCATCTCTCGTCTATAAATACACGCATCCTCAGACCAGAAGTTCATCAACAACCACCCAAAAATTCATTCCAAAGTATTGTCACGTACATTTAATTTGCACAGATTACACAACCAAATAGTGTTTGTTTCATCATATCACTATAATGTGGTCGGTTTCCAAAGTTTTGGTTCTCCAGTTTATGCTTCTTTGTAGCCTTTTAGCTACAGAAGCTGCTGTTGTTCATCGTCACAAATTCATTGTAAGCTTATATAAATCTTCATTTATAGCTAGTGTTAGGAGGACCATTTTATTTTATTCCAATCCATTAAGCTTTTTAAAGTTTTGCTTATTCTTATGCCATGCATGCATTATTTATAATGTGCAGATTGAAGAGACTCCATACACGAAGCTTTGCAGCAGTAAGAAGATCTTGACGGTGAATGGGAAGTTCCCCGGACCGGTTCTTTATGCCACTAAAGGAGATACAGTCATTGTGGATGTTTATAACAAAGGATCCGAAAATATAACCATCCATTGGTATATTTCTTACCCTAGTTGGAACTTGGAACTGATATATATATTATTAGAACAAATATAACTTAGCTATATTTCCGTGCAGGCATGGAGTGAAACAGCCTAGAAATCCATGGTCGGACGGTCCAGAGTTCATAACTCAATGCCCTATTCGACCAGGAACTAAATTCAGCCAGAGAATAGTACTTTCTGATGAGGAAGGCACATTGTGGTGGCATGCCCATAGTGATTGGTCTCGTGCCACTGTGCATGGTGCCCTTTTGGTTTATCCTAGTAAGGGAAGCCAATTTCCTTTCCCTAAACCCTCAGCTGAAGTGCCCATCATATTAGGTATATATGTATATTTCATATATATAACAATATGAAAAATTTATATCAGCTTCCATTGCATTGCATTATTGCTTCTTTTTTGTTCAGTTCGATATTGCTCTTGTATTCAATATTTATGGAATATAATAATAAATAACTAAATGTAAAATTTGAAATGCAGGAGAATGGTGGAAGAGTGATATATCACAAGTTCTCAGCCAGTTTCTTTCCAGTGGTGGAGATCCAGCTGTCTCTGATGCTTATATGATCAATGGCCAGCCAGGGGATCGATATCCATGCTCCAAAAATGGTATATATACATTTATATATTTCAATCCATCTCACACCACAAAAATAGTTCTGTCTGATTAAGGACTTATTACCATGGATGTTAAAACCCCTAAAAGCTATAACTAATAGAAAAGTAGTGTAAATTTATTTTCTTGTACATGCCTAATCGTCAGTGCAACATTTCGATAACAGAATACTGGACTCCACTCTTAAGCTGGGATCAATAAATTGGATCATATATAGTAACATGCAATTACTGATCATGTTTTTTTTTTTTTTTTTTTGGGATCCGCAGATACATTCAAGATAAACGTTGAATATGGAAAAACGTATCTGCTACGAATGGTGAATGCAGTGATGAACAACATCATGTTCTTCTCAATCGCCAACCACCAGATCACCGTCGTCGGATCTGACGGCAGCTATCTAAAGCCGTTCAAGAGTGATTACATCGCCATATCTCCCGGGCAAACCATTGACTTTTTGCTGGAAGCCAATCAGCCCCTCAACCACTATTACATGGAGGCTCAGCCCTACAGCAGTGCTCCCGGGGCGGCGTTCAACCGCAACACCACCACTGCCGTCGTTGAATACCGCGGAAACTACACTCCATCTTCGTCACCGCTTAGGCCTACTCTCCCAGTTTTCAACGACATCAATTCATCCGTTACTTTTACCGGAAAACTGAGAAGCTTAGCCGACTCGAAACACCCTGTGAATGTTCCGCTGAACGTGACGACTAATTTGTTGTACTCTGTTTCGATTAATACATTGCCGTGCCCAGATAATTCATCATGCACAAGCCCTATTAGGGGAAGTCGGTTTGCCGCTAGCGTGAACAACATAAGCTTTATTCTCCCGAAAATTGACATTCTTCAAGCTTACCACAAGCACATCAATGGAGTTTATGGGAAACAATTTCCTGATTTCCCGCCGTTGAACTTCGACTTCACGGGGAGTAATCTGTCCGTTACGCTCCGGCAGCATGACCGGAGAACGGAAGTCAAAGTTTTGGAATATGGCTCAGTTGTGGAGCTTGTTTTTCAAGGAACAAATTTGCTTTCTGGAATCGATCATCCCATGCATTTGCACGGATACAGTTTTTACGTGGTAGGTTGGGGTTTTGGGAATTTCAACAGGACAAGAGATCCCCAGACCTATAATCTTGTGGATCCACCTTTGATGAACACAATTGCAGTTCCCAGAAACGGATGGACAGCCATTAGATTCGTTGCAGATAATCCTGGTAAGTCAACTAATCAATCAACCTTTTTCTAGTAAATAGGAAGCTAAGTTAAAACCATATTCACTATTCAAGGATAAAGGTAATTAAACCAATCTCAAACCAAACTAAGAATGTCAGTATGTAGACCACCATATATTCGGAGTGAAACTTGTAACATTGTGATTAATTACTAAATTAACGACCTAACGTGACTAAAATTGCCCCAATCAACCCATTAATCTCATTATCTAGGAATGTTAGTATACCATATCATTAGTACAATATTAATGTTTTTTTTTTTTTTTTTTTTTTTTTTTTTTTTTTTTTTTTTTGATTTGAAAACAGGGGTGTGGTTTATGCATTGTCATTTTGAACGACATGCAAGTTGGGGAATGGAAATGACATTCATTGTTAAAGATGGAAAGCGATCCAGTGAAAGAGTGTTGCCGCCTCCACCAGATATGCCCAAATGTTGAAGCTAGATTGAATAATATTTAATTAGTAATTTTGATTATTTGTTACTTTATTATTTATTTAATAATTTAATTTATACTGTTTAATTTACTAAAATAGCTTGTAATGTCTTTGTTCATTTGTTGTATTATTCCACATTGTACTAATAATTTGTTGAAATAAGCTTGTAAAGTGTAATTACATTTTGGTCCTCGATAAATAAATATTATACATTGTCTTTGCTCATCCACCTCCCCTGAACTAATTATTATATTATGTATTATGATCTACATCGTAAAATGAACTATTTTAAAAGAATATTGACAAAAATTAAACTCATAATTTCTAAGTATAAAATAATTTGTTGGGAACATAATTGATCGAGTTGATGATCACATAACTAAAATGAAAATACTTGATGTACTCTCATTTTAAACTTCCAACTTGTACTCTCTCTCTCACATGCTCTTCATGTAGACATTTTTTCGTGGACCCACATGCTGAAAATAACCAATCCTAGATTGCCACCTCAGAGAGTATAAATAAGGCAGTAGAATTTTGGGAGTCTATATAGTAGAACTCTAGTTAAAATAGCTAGGTTTCACAATCAAGGTTAAGGAACTAGGTGGACCCTCTAGGTTTGGTTGCCTATATTGTAATTTGGGGTGACAGTGTTGGTTAATAAAAAAAATATTGATTATCTATTGGGTTGATAATTAAAAATAATACATTATATAACCTAATAGTTTGGTGGAATAATTGCAAGGTTGGAGGATCAACTTTGGTATATACATCAGTAATATCACGTTAAAGAATTCTAAAAAATATTTATATAGAGATACACATGAGCCAGAGCAATAAATAAAAAGTCTCGTTTCAAATGTTGACTCAATTTATTTTATTTTTCATTTAGACCATTAAAATGAATTTATTTTTAAGAAATATGTTTGAAAACTTTTAATTATATGGATAAGAAATGATCTTGTGTGTGTGTGAAAAAACGTGTTCAAAACATACAAACATCCATTTCTAAGAAATTTTATATATCACAAGTTTAGAAAAATATTTTCAATTTTAACTAGAAGGCTCGATCGAGTTCACTTCTGCAGAATATATACAACTAACCCAGGCCAACACAAATAGGATTAGTGTTTCGATAAAAAAAAAAAAAAAAAAAGTGTGGTCTAGCTTCTTTAATTTCCCCTACATATATATATGTTGCTACTTGTTATTGAATACATATAATTCACGAGTTTTTTATGATGAGTACATAATAATTTAATAAGAGTGGTGGCAATGTAGTGGGATATGAGCAAATTATTACGTCCTTCAAGCTAAATTTATTTGACGTATATTTAAAGAGATTAGAAAGAAAAAATTAAGATGAAAAGCGTGTGATTAATGTGATTTTACCAATTACTTTATAACAGAATTTAAAGTGTAATACTTGTAATAAGCTATATTCCTTTTCATATACACCGTAATAAATTATTAAATTTAGTTTAAAATTGTATTGTACGTCTCATAAACCATATACCCATATGATACATTAAAAAAAAAAACATCTTAAGGTCACAAATTCAATTCTTATTAAAAAAAATTTAGTTAAACCCATAATACATGATCTTCTTAGTATAAAATATATTTTATGTGTGATTTGCGAGCTATTATACTAGAGCACCAAGATTTATTACACTTTTGAATAGTGGCTATGAGCCTCCCTCGTCACTAAAAGTCTTTTTTTAAAAAAAAAAAAAGACAACTTAAGTTTTGAAATTGATTTTTTATGAATAATACCTATACATACACACATGTAACTTGTGAAAATTGATATATTTGGAGGATGTATAACAGAACTTACAATGAATGTATGGCGTTGAAAACTTGAACCCAACTTTTCATCTTAATATATTATAGGTTCAATTTTTGTGTACTATATGTTCATTTTAATCATGAATACATTAAAAATGAAATATAGGTTCAATTTTTGTGTACTATATGTTCATTTTAATCATGAATACATTAAAAATGAATTTGCAATACAATAAAAATAAACTTATATCAAAATATAAAAAATCTATTAAAAAATAAATTTATAATATACTACAAATAAATATGTATAACGGTTCATTTTATAAGATACACGATATAATTAATTTGTCAATAAGTTGAAATAACACCTACCAAGAGAAAAAGTAAACCTACGAATTGCCAAATGAAAACCTTCATTTTTTAAAAAAAATGAAAACCTTCATAATTGACCACATTTTAATTTAGTTTATAGAAGAATACATTTTATTAATATATTCTTCGTTATATTTATTGAATGTTTTGTTCAAATTAAAGTAAATAACCCTGTAGAATTTATATACAAGGTGGAACAGTTGATATGATGGACCATATATATGATACTCAGCGCCTATATGGGAATATATAATTAAGGTTAATTACCATAGTGCTATGGCCAACGTGCTAAATATAAAATGTCCCTTATGAGTTGTTTACATGAGTACATACATGAAGTATACGACATAATTATGTTACCTAATTTATTTTTAATTTTAACACATGATTATAATGTAAATAATGACTGGTAGGTCAATATATAATCATTGACTCAACCAAATAATTTTTTTTTTTTAATGAATTTTGGGTGACTAAATGGGTATAACATGATTCTAATATTATTTCAATGACCACGAATTCAATTCTTAACTGTATTTTTTCGATTAAGCCTGTAACATAGAATTTTTTTTTACTGTAATTTACTTTTTTTTTTTTTTTACATGGTAGGGTTTCCCTCGTTACAAAAAAAAAAAAAAAAAAAAAAAAAAAACACAAAAAACACAAAAAACAAAATAAAAACCTGCGTAATTCATCCTTAAAGCATGAATTGGTAAGCCGCCTTAGTTTATAGTTTTTTTGTTTTTTTGTTTTTTTTTTTGAAAGGTAGTTTATAGTTTAATTTATGAATTGAATACAACGAAATACCTAATAATGCATGCTCTAGACATTAAAGTAAGGTCATATGTTTAAACGTAATTGCATCTATACCTAAAAAGGTTAATGATATATAAATGAATAAATTATTATTATATTATATACTTAGTTATCAAATTAGTGATACATTAGACTTTGTTTATTATGCATTTGCCTCATGTTGTGTTATTTATTTCACACTAATAATATTGATTTTTGTTTCACAGGCCAATTTAAAAGGAGTATCATTAAAGAACTAGTGAAATTTGAACTTCAATCTCGAAATTAAGAAATTTTATACAATCGATTTATAAGGCTCGGGTTCATTAGAATTTTTTTTTTTTTTTTTAAATCTAACTTTAGCAACTCAAAAGGAAGTATATATCAAAGTTTTGCGCGCTACATGCAAATGCCGAGATCAAACACTTATTATACCAAAAGTTATAGTTATTAACGAACGCGCAACATGACTTTATTTCATTATAATTGCGTATTAATTTGTTAGCTCCATATTTCGATAATAAGATGCGATAATTGTTAGATCAAAGGTTTATCAATACTAAAAATTATATATCTTTTAATATAATGACAAACACTTAATACGATGATAAAGATTCAAATTTTATTTACAGGTCACATAATTTTTTCTAATATCACACGATTTCTTGAAGAGGATATGATACGAGAGAAATCGCAAGGAGTATTAGAATATAATGCATGTGCTCATTGCGGATTTTTAGTTTATTATTACTATGATGTTTGAACTTTTCTTTTTGTTTTTGTTTTTGTTTTATTTATTTATTAATTTATTTGTTTTTTTTTTCAACGTTCGGTTAAAAGTGCAGAGACTTTCCAGTTTTTGGACTTTTTTTTTTTTTTTGGGGTAAAGTTGTAGGAAAATAATGAAACGCGGCCAGGAGGCTGTGCATATTATTATTATTATTATTATTTAAAAAAAAAAAACAAAAAAAACAAAAAAAAAAAAGTAGAAGCAGCCGGTTAGTTGAGTGGTCGCTGCAAGCTGGATTTGGGGACTTTTGTAATTACTTGTTATTCATTCCAAACAATATAATCATTCTAACGCACAGAAAAGTCAGATGATTGGCTAAGCCATACACGGGGTTTCTTTACCAATTATATATATTCTGTATTCACATAAACAAACAAATTAATTATAAACAACGTAGTGGTTAATTAAAATGTGACTAATTCTTCTTCGTCTTCTTTGTCAACTTAATTACTTCTTTCCAGATACATTCCTCCGATCCTTCATCGCACATCTATCTATAAATACATTCATCTTCAGAGCACAAGTCCATCATCTATCAACCAAAACAAAAATCCATTGTTTTTTACAATACTTAGTTTCATAATGTGGTCGGTTTCCAACGTTTTGGTTCTCCAGTTTATGCTTCTTTGTAGCCTTGTAGCTGCTGAAGCTTCTGTTATTCATCGTCACAAATTCACTGTAAGCTTATATATATCTTCATTTATAGTATTGGGGCCGGGGGATCATTTTATTATATTCCATTCATCGAGCTTTTGCTTATACTTATGCCATGTATGTATTCATTCTTATATATAATCTGCAGATTGAAGAGACTCCATACACGAAACTTTGCAGCAGTAAGAAGATCTTGACGGTGAACGGGAAGTTCCCCGGACCGGTTCTTTATGCCACTGTAGGAGATACAGTAATTGTGGACGTTTATAACAAAGGATCCGAAAATATAACCATCCATTGGTATTTTTTTTTTTACCCTAGCTAGTTAAGTTGGAACTCGTATACATTATTATAACAAAATATAACTAATCGATCTAGGTTTTTTGCAGGCATGGAGTAAAAATGCCGAGATTTCCCTGGGCAGATGGTCCTGAATTTGTAACACAGTGTCCTATTCAACCAGGAACTAAATTTAGTCAAAAGATAGTGCTTTCTGATGAAGAAGGTACATTGTGGTGGCATGCTCATAGTGACTGGTCTCGTGCCACAGTGCATGGTGCCCTTCTGATTTATCCTAAGAAGGGAAGCCGATTTCCTTTCCCTAAACCCTCAGCTGAAGTGCCCATCATATTAGGTATTTATACATATTATTATATGTCACATTTATTATATTTATATGCACCAACCGACCAGGTTACGTTGTTCTTTGGGAATATATAGGTATAATATTCTAATCCATAAAAACATTATATATTTAATTAATTCTTCAAATGCAGGAGAATGGTGGAAGAGTGATATAAAAGATGTTCTTACTGAGTTTACTGCTAGTGGAGGAGATCCAAACATCTCTGATGCTTATATGATCAATGGCCAGCCTGGGGATCTATTTCCATGCTCCAAAAATGATACATTCAAGCTAACCGTGGAATATGGAAAGACATATATGCTACGAATGGTGAATGCAGTGATGAATAACATTATGTTTTTCTCCATCGCCAACCACAATATCACAGTGGTTGGATCTGACGGTAGTTATATGAAGCCTTTCACGAGCGATTATATTGCCATATCTCCAGGCCAAACCATTGACTTCTTGGTGGAAGCCAATCAGCCCCGCAACCACTACTACATGGCGGCTAGGGCATATAGCAGCGCTCCCGGCGCCTTATTCAACCGCAACACCACCACCGCTGTCGTTGAATACCGCGGCAATTACACACCATCTTCATCGCCAATCATGCCTAATCTCCCAGTCTTCAACGATACAAACTCTTCCGTTACTTTTACAGCAAAACTCCGAAGCTTAGCCGACAAGAAACACCCCATAAATGTCCCGTTGAATGTCACGACAAATCTTTTGTACACTATTTCACTTAATACATTGCCGTGCACGAATAACTCATGCGCCGGCCCGAGGGGGAGTCGGTTTTCGGCTAGTATTAACAACTTAACCTTTTCTCTCCCTAGAATTGACATTCTTCAGGCTTACTACAAGAACATCAACCAAGTTTTCACCAGAGAATTTCCAGATTTTCCACCCTTGAACTTCAACTTCACGGCGAGTAATCTGTCCGTTGTGCTCCGGCTGCCTGACCGGAGAACGGAAGTGAAAGTACTGGAATATGGCACGGTTGTGGAGCTTGTTTTCCAGGGAACCAATTTGCTTTCTGGAATCGATCATCCCATGCATTTGCACGGATACAGTTTTTACGTGGTGGGTTGGGGTTTTGGGAATTTCAACAAGACCACCGATCCCCAGAACTATAATCTTGTGGACCCACCTCTGGTGAACACAATTTCAGTTCCGAGGAATGGTTGGACTGCCATTAGATTCAAAGCAGATAATCCTGGTACGTCAATAACCTTATTCCTTGTTATATACGGAGTATTTTATTACATTCTTGTTACTGATAGATATATATATTGAGACCAGGCCACTGTATATTTACATATTTTTTCCTTTTATTTTTAAACAGGAGTGTGGTTTATGCATTGTCATTTTGAACGACATGCAACTTGGGGAATGGAAATGGCATTCATTGTTAAAAATGGAAAGCGGTCCAACCAAAAAGTGTTACCACCCCCACCGGATATGCCCAAATGTTGAAAATTGAAGAATAATTGATCATCTTTCAATTTTGATTTTGAGTTTGTTTATTATTTACTTTCACTATTTTAAAAAAAAAAATAACTTGTAATCACTCTACTCTGAACTCTCAACGGCTTGATTTAATTTGGCAGTCTATAATACCTCACCAAACAGAGTCTAACTGTTGCTTTTGGTTGATGGGGTTGGAGTCACTCTTTCTAGATTTATATGATTTTGCTTGAATTTTTTTTTCCTACGAAAATGAAAATGAGGAGTGTGTAATGTCTTTTCTTGTATTGTACTATTTTCACATTATATTGTACTAATAATTTGTTGTAATATGTTTTGAAAGTGTATTTACTGGTCCTCAATAAATATCTATGGCCTATCTTTTATTTGTTTTTATTTTCTGTCATCGTTTTAATTGGAATTCACTTGCAAGTTATCTCCCACATTAGCTCCTCTCACCTTTTCAATATAATTCTATTTTCTTAATGCAACTTGTGGTAATGAAAACTTAATCTAAAATCTCCCTACGAAATCTTAGGCAAATGGCATGATTTTTTTTATTTTTTTTGTTTGAATCAACAAAATGAAACTATCATTAATGAATAGAAAACAAGTCACCAATAAAAGTTGATGAACCAATAAGCCACTCAACTAAGACAGTCTAAGAGCCTATAGCCTAAGCCAACACAAACAATTCTTTATTGTCACATTATAGCAATTTGATATCTTGAGCATAATTATCAATCATCATCCAAAAGTATGAACTAGCATTTAGGCATATATGGTGGTGGAGGCAGCATCTTCTGCTTTCTTTCGTTGCCGTCTTTGACTATAAATGCCATATCCATTCCCCAACTTGTATGTCGCTGGAAGTGACAATGCATAAACCATACTCCTAACAATTTTAATTAAATAATAAAATTAGTTTTAACTTGCAAGATACAATATATATTAGCAAGCGTATTATTAATATATATTATATTCTAAATGCTCTGTCAGGTCAGGGTGTGATCTAAGGGTTGGGGTTCAGCCTTTTGGAAGAATATATATATTATATATATTAAAAAAAAAAAAAAAAAAAGGTTGGGACAGTATTGACCTGGATTTTCGGCCTTGAATCTTATGGCAGTCCACGAGCTTTTAGCAACAGCAATAGTGTTAACTAGAGGAGGATCGACAAGATTATAGTTGGAAGGATCTTTGTCTTTATCAAAATTCCCGAAACCCGACCCGACAACGTAGAAACTGTATCCGTGCAAGTGAAATGGGTGATCAATGCCCGACAACAAAGAAGTCCCTTGGAGAACAATCTCCACCGTCCGTCCATATTCAAGTACTACCACTTCCGTCGCCCGGTTCGCCTGCAGCAGCTTAGCCGGAAGATCGCCGGCGGTATAGTTGAATGGAAAGGGTGGAAAATGGGGGAATTCATCGCCGTAAACACCGCCGATCATCTTGTAATAAGCCTGAAGTATGTCGATAGGCGGGAGAACAAAGCTGTTGTTATTCATACTAGCGGCGAGCCGGCTGCCATTAATTCCGGCGCATGCCTTACCGTTTTCGCACGGCAGCGTGTTGACGGAAACCGCGAAAAATAGGTTAGTTGTCACGTTCAGGGGGACATTAATCGGATGATTCTCGTCGGCTAAACTCCGGAGGTTCCTGGTAAAACTAACGGATGCGTTCGTGTCGTTAGAATTCGGAAGATTGGGTAACGGCGGTGAAGGATCCGCCGGGGAATATTTTGAATATTGGAGGATGGCGGTGGCGGTGGAGTTGTCGTAGTGGAGCAGAGGGACCGAGTTGTATGCCTTTGCAGCCATGTAATAACGGTTCGGCGTTTGGTCGGCTTTGAGCAAAAGGTCAATGGTTTGACCGGGAGATATGGCGATATAGTCACTCTTGAACGGTTTTACGTAGCTGCCGTCCGTTCCGACCACCGTGAGTTGGTGGTTTGCGACGGAGAAGAAGAGGATGAAGTTCATCGCGCTGTTCACCATTCGAAGCAAATATGTCTTTCCACTATCCACCGTTAACGTAAACGTATCTGCAATTTCAATTAAACAACCTTTTAATTAGCTTTCAAAGACTATTGAAATTTGTAACGCAACAATGTTACTTGTGCAAAATTTCTTGTACAAAGGACCTTCGTTTCCATCTCCCAAAAGATTAAATCCCCAATTCTAAGAGCTCTCCACATTTGGATCGGATAAAACATTTAAGAGAATGTAAATTATGGTGAATCAATGGCTCAACAAAAATGATTAAATGCAGATGTTCACAAGAAATCTTTTCACATAATCCCCACGCTAGCACGGTTGAAATTCGAACCTTAACTTGGTCTTTTCTCTCAAATATTATTTACTGAACTATTGAGCTAAATTCGTGCAAGCAAGACCTTCATTTCCTGACTTGACAGAATGATAGTGTTGATTTTATCATTACAGAAGTAGTCAAATAGCGGGTCAACACTACCAGAATATTAAGAACGAGATTGCCGGAAAATACATTACCATTTTTTGAACATGGGTATAAATCTCCAGGTTGGCCATTAATAAAAAATGCGTCTGAGATAATTTCTTGTCCCCCACTTGCTATCAACTCTTTATATACTGCTTGTATATCGCTCTTCCACCATTGTGCTGTTCCAATTTTAACATTTTGTTTTTTGAAAAATATCAAATTATTATGAGAACCAAATACAAATTAAAGTATTATGAGAACCAAATACAAATTAAAGTATTTTCAAAAAAAAAAAAATACAAATTAAAGTATACATAATAGATCAGAAGTGTAAGATCGCATATATACCAAAAATGATGGGCACTTCAGCTTGAGGCTTAGGAAAAGGGTATTTAATTCCATTAGTGGGATAGATAATAATAACACCGTGCACCGTGGCTCGAGACCAACCACTATGGGCGTGCCACCACAATGTTCCTTCCTCGTCTGATAATTTGATTGTTTGGCTAAAATTTGTGCCAGGTTGAATAGGACATTGAGTTATGTACTCCGGACCATCCGACCATGGATTTCTTGGTTGTTTCACACCGTGCCTAAGTATCACATTTAAGGAGTCCAAAAATAAATCAGTGATAATTAGTATTATATTTAATTTTATTACTTATAAGGGAAAATATAATACTTTAAAAAAAAATACTACTTTTACATCAAAAAGTAAAAGTATTACATTTGTACTTGTCATCAAAAGTACTATGTTTTTCCTTGTAAATAACAAATTATCCATAATTAGTATTGCATTTGCTAGTATAAGTATTACATTTGCATCTCACGGATCACACAAGTATGACCCTTAAATCATAGGTTGGTCAAAATAAAGTATTATAGCGGACTAGCTCAAAACAAGAAGGTTACTGGACAGTTCTTATTTAAGTTGAACTTAGAATGTTGTGGTTACTAGTAACTATACTACCAACTCGATTAGGATTGGCCCAAATAAAATATTGTACATGTAGCTAGCACACGGGAAAAGTCAAATGTCTATATACTTTTTAAGATTATAATTTTTTTTTTTTAATTTAAAAAAGATTGAATTTAAGAGAATAATACTTACCAATGTAGGGTAATATTTTCACTTCCTTGATTAATTACATCGATTATTATTGTGTCCCCTCTATTTGCATATAGAGTTGGTCCAGGAAATGTTCCATTCACAGTCAATATATTCTTGCTACTACACAGCCTTGTGTACAGAGCTTCTTTCACCTACACATAATATATAGGTGATAAAAATGGATGGTAAGATTTGGATACAAATTTACATTTTAAGTTAAACAAATTATTTTAGTTATAAAGAGACTTTTAAAAAAAAAAAGTGGTATTAAATGTGTGTAGTGTGTACCTATCTAAGCCAAACACAATGGGATTAATTAAGTTTTTTTTTTTTTTTTTTTTTTTTTTTTTTTTTTTTTTTTGGGTATTCTTTAACACATGCATAAAAACATATGGAGTATAGAATATAGATTATTATAATGTGTGTGTGTGTGTGTGTATTATTTTCATATTATATTAATCCAACTCATATGGAGTATAAATTATTATTTGTATATATATTTTTTGATAAAATTATTTTTATATTAATCTGACTCATGCAAACTTAATTGGTAGGAAGGTTGAGTGATTTAGATTTTTTTTTTTTTTAAATGAAACATTCTCTCTCTCTCTCTCTCTTCGGAGCAAAAATTAGTAAATTGATTTCTGACTTTTTTTCTTTTTTAAGATAAAGATCATATCAAGATTTTTTTTTTTTTTTTTTTAGGGTAGATCATATCAAGAATTAATTTTTTTTATCACAAGGAAAAAAAAATAAAGCATGAAACTCTTTAGAGGGATAACAAGCCTAAAGGCAGATTAAAAGAAAACAAAAGATGAGAGAAATTAAACATACATTAATCAAGAAAGATTAAAAAAAAAAGTATTTACGATATGGAATTATGGACATAATTAAATTTCTTGAAATTTTAAATGTAACTTTGTAATATATAAGTCACTCTTTTTCAATTAAATTAACACAAATTCAATTTTCTCTGCTTTATAAGTCACTTATCAAACTTAACGTCTTTTAAGATCAGAAGAAATGAATAATTAAAGATATATATACTGATATACATAGTTACATACACATGTAAATATATACTTGTGAAAATTAATGTTTTTTTTTTTTTTTTTTTTTTTTTTTTTTTTTTTAAGGAAGAACAAAAAAACTTACAATGAATGTATGACGTTGAAGCTCAGCTTGGCCAATTTGAATGCCTCCCAGGAGAAAAAAAACTATGAATTGCAAAATGAAGGTCTCCATAGTCAACCACATTTTATAAATTAAAATATTATGTTTAATATAATGTTTTGCTCAAATCCTCTCAATTTTATATACAAGGTGAGGTAACGTTGCTGATCTAGGTTTTATGGACCGTATCCTACTCCAATTAATTAAGGTGTACAAACAATAGTGTGAAAATTTTAAATGTAATGTGGAAATTTGGCCATGGAATACCATATATTGGGTTCTACAATGAATTTACTCCGTAGACAAGGTAAATACCATATGATAAAAAAAAATATGTTAAATGTTAAATGTTAAATATAATAAGATTATAAAGAAAAAAATAACAATAAAAATAATCAACACATCACGATCGAACGTAACAAAGAAAAAATATAAAATTATAAAGAATTTATATATGTATTTCTGGCTGACCACATACAATTGGGTTAGGATTGGATACATACATATTTTGTTTTTACATTTTGAAATTTGTGTATATCTAGTTACAGTTAAATTGGTTGATTTTTTTATTTTTTTTAAAACAAAATTACTGGTACAACTTCGGGCCACTTTTTGAGAGGTTAAAAATATTCTATACGATCCCACCAAACCTAACTCTTATTGAAAATGGAGTCATCAAGTTTATATATTTTCCCTTCTCAAAATTAATTAATGTCATATCATGTTTTATGAAGGCATTAAAAAAAAAAAAAAAAGTCCTTATCCTGCCCTCCATTAATAACGTTTGGCATGCAATGTTGGGTCGTGTGAGTCTTGCAAAACCCATCGTGCCTCAATTTGTATGTATAATTATAATTTGTTCCGTATTCTATACTCGATGCAATATATTATTTCTGTCTAATTTTTTAATTGATTTGGATGAATACTTGATATTTGAACTCGATTGAACCGCTTAGCCCCAGTTGAACCACTCTAACCCCTTCATAAATCCCCAAAATAATTACCCCTTATCTAGCTACCCCTTAACCCCCAATATTATTACCTATTAATCTATACCTCATCCTAACCCCCAACTTATTAGCCCACTAATTACCCTATTTATTTTTAATTTCCATAACCTCTTATTCCTAACCCACTACCCAACGGCTACTACTTAAACTTACTGCTATAAAAGGAAGGAACACAAATATGGGGGCATCATTCTCCCTCACAGAAGACCACATACTACTCTCTCTCAAGGGGAAGGACTCTTCCTACGTCACTCTTCCTCCTACATCACTAGAGGACTCCATCTTTATATACAAAATAGCTACACCACCAAATACATGTACAAATACCTACAAAAATAATGAGTCTTTAGGCTTGGCACCGCCCACAAAGGCCTTTAGTTTTCTTTTCGGTTTTCACGTAAAAATCATTGCGTCTATACTTTTCCTATATATCTTTTTACACCTTTCGTTTTCCGGTGAATCCACTAATCTACCGGATTGTGTTGGACCTCCGTGGCCCCAAAAGTCCTAAATCATTGCGTCTATACTTTTCCTATATATCTTTTTACACCTTTTGTTTTCCGGTGAATCCACCAATTTACCAGATTGTGTTGGACCTCCGTGGGCCCTAAAAGTCCTAAAATCAACAGATTTACTATAAGCTAATTAAATATAGTTACATTGTTTGATATAATGTATTTAAACAAGTATTATTATGTACTCTATTATGACAGTTTTGTCCATTTGTGTCAAATGTTGAAGCCAATTTATTTAATTTAGAGTTTTAGATTATAATATATTAGCTACTTTACTTTTAAATTTAATATTACAAATATAAAGCATTATATATTTAATTAATAGATAAATGTATTACAATTAATTAATTAGCCAAATAGCTATTTCAACGACACCTTTGTGGCTCTCCTAAATAGGATGTGACAAGTTCAAATACCAGTAAAATTAAAACATTAACTTTTTATGCTTCAATAGGTTGATAAAGTAGTAACACTCAAAAAAATATTACATTAATACATGAGTTTCACCGTTTACTATTAGCTATTAGGAATTTAGTATTTATGGTTTACCTTGGCTTAGTTTTTAGGATTTATCCCCAACTTAAATGCGTTATGTAGTTTTACTATTTGTAGACTTAGTATTGTAAGTTGTAACTTGCATTTTATAATATTGCAAAGTGCACTTTAAAGTTCAAATTATTTATAAGCATGTTGTCATTTTTTTTTTCTCTAATTGCTTCTGATATATATGTTAAAAAATTCATAGTTCTCTCATAATGAGTGATTCTCATGAAAATGCACCCTCACACACATATATAAAAGACCGTAATGATTTCCGACAAAGTGAAAAAATGACATTTTTTTAGTCAAAAACATTAGGTTCTTGAATATTGAAAACTTATTAGAATCTCAAATTTTTTCATTGTGGTCTAATATATATCTTCATTAACTTGTGATAATAATAATCAATTCACAGCATAACAATATAGAGAGTGATTTTTATAATACTAATAATCAATAAGATTGCTTGATATTATTTGTAAACTGAGATTACAATTTCCATATCTGAATCCAAAAGGAGATAATATAGGAAAAAGCAGGAAATTAACACACGGTCACACGCAATAATGCAAACAAATTGTTTTCAAAAAAAAATGCAAACAAATTTAATTGGGATCGGAAAATTCCTTAATTTCTGCAATTATTAATAATCGAACTCTTCACGTAATCCTTAAAACTGATCATGTTCCCATCGATCACAGATTATGAATAATTTACGTCATCTATCAGCACTTTGGCATATCTGGAGGTGGAGGCAACATTGTCTCGTTTACGCCAGTTCCATTTTTAACTATGAATGTCATCTCCATTCCCCAGCTTGTGTGACGCTCCAAATGACAATGCATGAACCACACCCCTATAATAATAATCAATCAAAAACAAAATAAATATTAAACACATTATAAAATTATATTTAATTTAAAAATTAAACATTAATAAAATTCAAAGTTTTTTTATGGACCCATAGTTTTTATACAATACCTAGTGCAAAAATTATATTAAAATAATTTATTGTTTACCAGGATTATCTGCTTTGAATCTGATAGCTGTCCAAGCGTTTTTAGGAAGAGCAATTGTGTTCATCAGAGGAGGATCGACAAGATTATAGTTCTGCGGATCTTTGTCTTTGTCGAAATTTCCGAAACCCCAACCGACCACGTAAAAGCTGTATCCATGCAAGTGCATGGGATGGTCGATTCCAGCGACCAAATTCGTGCCCTGGTAAACAAGCTCCACCGTCGTCCCATACTCAAGCACAAACACTTTCGCCGTCTTATTCCGCTCCGGCAGCTGCAGCTCCGACGGGAGAGTTGCATTGGTGTAGTCAAAAACAAAGGGCGGAAACGGCGGAAAGTCGGTTGCGTAAACGTCGTTGACGGCGCCGCTCTGGTTTAGGATGGTGCTATAGTAGTACGCCTCAAGTATGTCGGTCTGAGGGAGGATGTAACTGTTGTTGTTAACGCTGGCGGCGAACATTCTCCCGCTCGGTCCGGTGCAGTTTGAGGAATTTCTTTCGCACGGTCGGGTGTTAATGGAGACCGTGAAAAGCAGATTAGTCGACACGTTCTGTGGAACATCATTATTGTCGGCTAAGCTTCTGAGTTGCGAGGTGAAGCCGACGGACGCGTTGATGTCGTTGTGGTCGGGGAGGTTAGGGAAGGGCGGTGACGGTGACGGGGTATAGTTGCCGGAGTATTGGATGAAGGCGGTGGTTGTGGTGTTGTCGAATAGAACCCTATCGGCGGTGTTTAAGGCCTTAGCCGCCATGTAATAGTGGTTGGGGGTTTGGTCGGCGTGGAGCAAGAGGTCGAGGGTCTGGCCGGGGGATATGACGACTACGGGTGCCTGGAAGGGTTTTGTGTACGCGCCGTCGGTCCCAACCACCGTGAGGTTGTGGTTTGCGATGGAGAAGAACATGATGTTGTTCATTACTGCGTTCACCATTCGGAGCAGATATGTCTTTCCACTATCCACCGTCACCCTGAATGTATCTGTGATTAGAAATCAAGCAAAAGAGGGATTAGAAAACGCCGTTCCGGGATTCAAGATATTTTGCAGTCAAGGATATATATATATAGGTACCATTTTTAGAGCAATTGTATTTATCCCCAGGTTGACCATTGATAAGGAATGCATCTGAGATCTTTGGGTCTCCTCCGCTAGCAAGGAATTCATTCAAAACTTCTTGTATGTCTGATTTCCACCACTCTCCTGCACCATTTTCAATAATATTTTTAGCCATCTCAATACATAAGACTTCTACTGTGTCGAGGATAAGAGAAACCCACAACTACTATATGAAGGAATGGACTGAATAAACACAGCATTATAATCTTAATCGACAAATTAAAGGAGCTAAACCAGCCTAGGTCAGGCACAGCTAACCAGCTCAAACCTAGATGACCAAATAGAGAGTTCTCTATCAGCAATCTTGTGGTTACTAAGTCAACTGTACTGACTAATCATGTATCAATTTGCATCTCATATATATATGATACCTAAAATGATGGGAACTTCCCCTTGAGGCTTAGGAAAAGGATAACCCTCAGGTCCATTAGGAGGAGAGACAACAATTTGCCCATGCACAGTGGCTCGAGACCAATCGCTATGAGCATGCCACCATAATGTTCCTTCCTCATCCGATAGCAAGATTTGTTGGCTAAAGTTTCTACCAGGTTGAATAGGACATTGTGTTATGAATTCTGGTCCATCTGACCATGGATATCTTGGCTGTTTCACACCATGCCTGTCATTTATTTTTTAAAATTAAAAAATATATATATATAACTTATCATCATATATTCCGATCCGACCCAATACATATTATTGTAATTAATTTGTACGAAATGAGTAGATACAATCATACAAACCAATGAATGGTTATGTTTTCAGTCCCATTATTGATGACGTCAACGATGATTGTGTCCCCTCTGTTGGCAAATAGAGTTGGCCCAGGAAAGCTCCCGTTCACCGTCAAGATCTTCTTGCTACTGCAAAGCCTTGTATGTGGCGTTTCTTCCACCTGCATGCGCGCATTTCAATATAATTATATAATTACCAATCATAAACCATACGGAAACAAATATTATTGGTATAACCTTATAACTGTCTTATTTATTTTTATAACAAATGATCATAAACTATATGCCAGTACTATAGGTGTGTATATATAAGTTACGTTGTACTACATACAATGAACGTATGATGTTGAACTCTTGCATGGCCGAACTGAAGGCTACCAAGGAGAAGAACACCTATAACTTGCAAAACTAAAACTTTGATCATGGTTGGTTACGTTGTATGTTTTAGTATAAAGATACACTCCAACAACTTGATCCAATCCCTCACCTATTTATAAACCTGGGATGGAGATTAAGAATAATGTTACGTACTTACGTTGGGCACATGTGTAACGTTGAATTGGCCTGGCTGCTTTCAAATTCTAAATAGTGTTCATTGACAATATGTAGTATTACAGTCCATGGCCGGTTTTTAGATTTTTGTTGCCCTATTCGGGTAAATAAATAAGGCCTTATCAAAATCAAAATCTTTAAAATTAATACCTTAAATTTTTTTAATCTATACTATTCTAATCGGATATCAACCAAAGAAAAGCATAATCGGGGAGACCGTTTATCTCTAATGTAGAAACGGTCCCCTATATTGTCCGTTTCTGCTCATACGAAAAATTTCAGTAATGTTTTGCATTGATACGTATTCACACGTATTTGAATGAATATTTAACAAATTTTGAAAGGATTAAAGAAATAGTAACACTTTTATTATCTAAATATATAATAAAAAAATTTATTCGTGGGCACGGACACGCCCATTGCACGCGCACTGCACAGATAATTGAGTAATTATTTACACGAATTCAAGCAAAAATAACATAAAAAAATATAATCAATACAACCTATTTCATTAATTACACTATATAATATTTGTTGTTATAATTTTTATTTGTGTATTGATCAAATCCGGGCCTGTTACAGTCAATACATGCACTTTGAATTTTTGCAGTATTGTTAGCACTCCAACATGCAACTAATTGAACCATTCATTCCCACTTGACTCGATAACCATTCACGCATTGATTGATGTGATGGGTGCAGTGCGTGCTCTTACACGAAACTCCCTCCCAATGGGTAAATTAAACTTATGTAGGTGTGTTTGCATTGGTTAGGAATCGAAATAAGAATGAGTATCAAATATTTGGTAAGAGTTTTTTGCACTTTTGATCCCACGACTATAGTGGCACTAGCAGAATTGATCCACGACTTTTGAACCTTGCAATTTTAGTCCATGACTATTGATTTTTTTGCAAAAATGGTCCTTCCGGCCACTTTTCCGTCAAAATTTCACCGGAATTTTTTTTAATCCATTTTTAATAGGGCTAAAATTGATATTTTACTTATCTCAAAATATAAAGAAAATACATAAAACGGAAAGGTAAAAGCGATTGCATTTGAGAATCTCCGCCGCTCCTCTCGTCGGAAATCTATAGAACGAAGCTTTTCCGATGTCTTCGGATGATGCCGCAGGCGTGTTGTCTCCGCCTCCAATGCTGCTGCCGGATAACCCAACTAGCCCGGGGAACGTCACAGCCGCTCCGCCGCTTACTGAAAGCCCTACCTGCTCCAGGAACTCCGCCGCCTGGGGCAGTAGTATGTAGCCCAGTAATTTGAATGTAGTCAAATGCCAATTTTTTTCTTTTATTTTTTGAGATAAGTAAAATGTCAATTTTAGCCCTGTTAAAAATGGATAAAAAAGAATTTTCCGGTGGAATTTTGACGGAAAAGTGGCCGGAAGGACCATTTTTGCCAAAAAATCAATAGTCGTGGACTAAAATTGCAAGGTTCAAAAGTCGTGGATCAATTCTGCTAGTGCCACTATAGTCGTGGGACCAAAAGTGCAAAAAACTCTACTTGGTAATATTAATAAATTTTGATGAAAGTATTTAGCATGTTTGGTTGTAGGGTGGAATGGAAATGGTTACTAATAGTAGTGCTTGAGAAAAAATAAGGGAATGAAACCCTTATTTTATTTGAGTATGAATTTTTCAATTAATAGAGTATTCGAAATCTATAGTAATGTTCTAAAAACGTATCAACCAAACAATAACAAATCACTTTCATACTCATTCCTATGAGTAAAACCTGTCAACCAAATACACCATTAATTGTGATAAATTAAAGTTTGTATATTATTATGTAATGTAGATTTATATTTCGATAATATATATAAAATGACAATGACACAGCCACACAGGAATATAACAAAATCCAGTTGCGAATGCTCTTGCGAAGATGATTTGTCATCTGGATAGTAGGTGGAAGGAGATTACGGAAGTTACCAGGGAGATCCTGATAGAGTTTGAACATAATGACCGCTTGAGTATCGTCTGGCCAGGGAGTATTACCGAGAGGCAATAGTGTTGGGTTGCGGCTTGGAGAACTGAGTTCTACATCTTGTTAATGGATTGTAACTTGATTGTTAGACATGTATTAGAAAATAAAGTTACGTCTTCTTTGCTACTAACTATAATTTTTAGTATTGTGATAAGCGCTTGATCATGAAAATTGGTATTTTGACTGGGATCATGCTATGCAATTGAAGTTGGCAAGTGTTATAATAGAGAATGTTGGGTTGTAGCTTGGAGAGCCGAGTTCAGCATCTCACACTAAAAAGAAAGGAATAAGGTTCAAATTGATCACTGAAAATAACCTAAAAATGCAATTAGGTCACTAAAAAAAATGAAGTGCAATAATTAGGTCACTGAACATTCAAAAAACGTGCAATTAGATCATTGAACACTCAAAAAATGTACAATTAAACAAATTTGAACATTATTCAAAAAGAAATATGGGTATAACGTTATAAACTAGTATAAAAATGTTTTAATTTTTTAAAAATATTAAAAAATATATATAAAATCTTGTTAATAAAATTTATCTTGTGTACACATGTAAGCGTGGTTTCTAGAATGCTAACTTTTAGATATTTAACATTATGTAATCATTCTTGCATGTTTGCATGTTTGACAATTGGGGTTAAAAAACACGGATTTCTCAAGGCTGCTAATGTTTTGTCAATAACAAAATTTATTGTCTAGAAAAAAATGACAAAGTGAATGAGTAAAGTATTACTCGATCTTATACTTGAATATTATGAGTTTGACTATTGACACCATCATTTAATCGAGTTCACTCTTTGTACCCTAATGTCTTCCTAAATATAAATAATTAAAATGGATTACATGTGTCATGCAATAATGTTAGATGATATAATATTTGGTGTAAAATAAAAATCACATTTTTGTTATCAATCACTAGAAAAGTTAAAGTAAGAGCCACTAAAACCGGTTTGTAGGAATAATTAGGGAATGATTTGAATTTTGCTACGTGGGAATTGAATTGAAGAATTCACATTGAATCTATACTATATATAAAAATAAAATCCTGAAATTTTAATTTTCCGCTCAATTCTTAAAAAATCTCTCTTCCCAATAAAATATATTGATTTCTATTTTTCCATTCGTACAATAATTCTGGGTAAAAATTCTATTCTAAAATTATAAAATAGTGTAATACAAATCTCTTTGCACATCTATATCTATACTTCTATACTATATATAAAAACAAAATCCTGAAATTTTAATTTTTCGCCCAATTTCTAAAAAATCTCTCTTTCCAATAAAATATTTGTATTTCTACTTTTCCATTCGTTCAATGATTCTGGGTAAAAATTCTATTCTAAAAATATAAAATAGTGTAATACAAATCCCTTTGCACATCTATACTATATATAAAAATATATTACAACAATTTCATTCCGTGCATCGCATGAGTGGAAATACTAGTTAGGGAATAATAATGGGAAATTGATTTCTAAAATCTTTGACTTGAATTGGGAAATGATTTGTGGGTGTAAACTAATATAAAAATGCTTCCGTGTAATTAGTATAATGATTTGTATGTTACCTCTAATGCAATTAAAACATTTAACACATTAACATTATCATCTTTAAGACATTAAGACATTTAACACATTAACATTAACATCTTTTATATTCATTATTGTTTCACAATAATTTCTTTTTGCATTAAAAAGAAAAATCGACACGAGTCACGTTAATTTTATCATACAGATTAAAGACAGGCCAAACAAGACGAACAAAAATTTTAAAATTTTAAATTGAAGGTACAATAAAAGTGTTAAAATAGAAGGCTGCAAAAGTGCTAATTAATTAATACATGAATACAGCTCCTGACAGATAATATATGATTCCGATTCATGTCGTTGTCATTTGTGAATCTAACGAACTCAATTTACTGACTACTTCCGTTGCGTTCTTAGCAAGTGGAAAGAAAGTCCAACCCTAAATTTGTTTTGATTGAGAAATTCAAATTATGATATAATTGGGTCTTTGATCAATGATGATGATGTACGCCTAACCATAACATATATGTTCCTCGTGCATCTTACACCCCAACTACAAAAGTTGGTGGCATCGCATGCATGGCGCTCTTGGTAATTTTAGTTCCAATATAATATAATATAGTTTGAAATAAATTTTATTTATATCTTATTATATAAATCGGTTAAATGTTTGTATATTTTATTATATTTATTTTATAGGGTTGTAAATTAAAGAAGTTTTAATTTATTAGGTCGATAATTTGAATAGTAGGCCTGGTTTATTTGGCCTGGCCAACAATGAATATTTTGGAGGACGGACTCTAAATAGGTCATCTAACTATTGATGAAATAGAAAGTAAGCATTCAAATTTTTAAAGAGTTTCATAATTAAATACTCGAAATTAATAAAATAATGCAATTAAAATATTAAAGCCTTTTTACCCTTTTTTGCTTGATAACTTCATGTTACCTGCCACATTAGATTCATATGGTATAATTGGGCATCATAACAATATTATTTATATACGGAGTAATATTTTATTTCCTCCCGTCGTCAACATAGTCACATCCCCGCCATCGCCACAACAGTTGCCTCTTCTAGTCTACACTAGAGAAGGCGCCAAGACGGTGATATCACCAAAAAAAAAAAAATTCTTGTCGAAAATTTGAACTCCTTGCAAGAAAATTGTTATTTTCATAACTTTAGAAAGGAAGAGTTAAAGTTAGCAGATTTAATGAAAAAGAAACATGTAATAAGCAAAAATGTACCATGTCATCATTATTTTTATCTTTTTGTAGGTAACTTGTTTTTTTAGGTAGTATCTGGTCTATACTATTTATATGTGTGAGTCAATACCCTACCA